TGCGGCAATTTAACACACACATACCAATTTACAATCATAAACAAAAAGTCAGGCTCCCCCTATCCTCCAGATATGCCATTCCTAAGTGTTGTGACTGGAGGAGAAGGGGACCAGCCTGTAGAACGTGTTCTTTGTTTCTGTTGGAGGATTAGCAGAGCCATGCACTGTGAGCACAGGTTGCTTCCTGCTCCCATTGGAGGTAGGGGGCAGCTGGAATACCAGGTCACGGCTCGACTTCCACTGCCAGCAGGAAGCAGTGTGTTTTGCTCGGGTGCTGGGGTCAATGATTGGCATTGATACGAGAAGTCCAGCAAATGAATGGCTCTGCTGGGGGAGGAGGGAGTGGCTAAGGAGTTGCTTGCCCAGCACACTAGCCCCAGACAGAAGCAGGGCAGCCCATCTGGAAACCTCTTGGGAAGTGCACCTGACAGATCACCTATCACCAGCGCCAGTCCTGACTATAAACTCACAAAGCACGAGTGTATGGCTGGGTCGCCAAACATAAGAACAAGCTCAGTCAATATCCTCTTGCTCCACATTCACTCAGTCTTCCCAACATCAGTTGACAAAACCATCTGTAACGTGATTGGTTGTACTTAGAGAAAACCATGCATCACACACAGCAACTGACTGCCCCAGCTGCTAGAGCACTGGTAAGCATTTAGGCAGGGCTGAGAGCTGCTAAGGATGCGTTTAGGCAATGTGATCTATCGCAATAACTGCCACTAAGATCTCACAAATAGAATAAAAAACTGCCGATACATTTACGCTAATCAGCTACAATCTTAAAACCACCTGCCTCATATGGTGTAACTTGATGCGTTGAGGTATGGAGTCCACAAGACCTGTGAACTGTCCAGTGGTATCTGGCACCAAGACATAGCAGCAGATTCAAGTATGGCAAGTTGTGAGGTGGGGCCTTAATGGATCAGATTTGTTGTTCCAGCACTTACCACAGATGCTCAATCTGATTTAAATTTGGGGAATTTGGAGGCCAAAGCAACATCTTGAACCCTGTCACGTTCATCTAACCATTCCTGAACAATTTTGCAGTGTGGCAGGGTACATTATCCTGCTAAAATAGGCCACTGCTATCAGGGAACAGCACTGCCATGAAGGTGTATACATGGTCTGCAACAATCTCTAGGTAGGTGGTACATGTCAAAGTAACATCCACATGAATGACAGGACCCAAGATTTCCCAGCAGAACACTGGCTCTGCCAGCCTACCTTCTTCCCATAGCGCATACTGCTGCCATCTCTTCTCCAGTTAAACGATGCACACATACCCAACCATCCACCTTATTTAAAATAAAACGTGATTCATAGGCCAGGCAACCTTCTTGCATTGCTCCATGGTCCAGTTCTGATAATCATGTACCCTTAGACAGCAGTTTTTATGGGCTCTCTGACCAGTCTGCAGTTATGCAGCAAACTGTGATGCATTGTGTATTCTGATACCATTCTGTCAAGGCTTGCATTATGTTTCTCAGCAATTTGAGCTACAATATATCGTCTGTATGATCTGAACCAGACGGCCTAGCCTTTGCTCCCCACGTGCATCGATGAGCTTTGGGTGCTCATGACCCTGACTCCTGTTCACTGGTTGTATTTCCTTGTGCTACATTTGGTATGTATTAATCACATACTGGTAACATTCCCACAAGACTTGCCGTTTTGGAGTGGTCTAGCCATCACTATTTGGCCCTTGTCAAAGTCACTCAGATCTTTACTCTTGCCAATTTTTCTACTTCCAACACATTAAATTAAAGACCTGACACTTGCTGCCTAATATATCCCACCCATTGACAGGTGCCATTGTGTCAGTATAATCAATGTTACTCACTTCACCTGTGGCTTATCAGTGTATAATAACCAACATACATCCTTTTATGGTTTTTAATTCATTCCAAGTGCTTAGCGCACAATCGCCTGCCCAGCACACTAGCCCCAGACAGAAGCAGGGCAGCCCACATGGAAACCTCTTGGAATTAAAGGAATAAACAGTGGATAGCGGCTCTTTTTTCCCTAATGATACTTATTTTATCAACATTGAAAGGATGAAAGACTGAGCTTGACTATGAACTGAACCTACAAAATGGAGGTTTCCACAGGTACGGTCCTCAGAATTTCCAAACTGAGCTATATACGTGATCATGTACATTGAGAGAATAGGGGGAAATATAGAGCAAAGTACTACAAGTAGATATTTTTGTATATAGCTTGGAGGAAAGACGGGACAGGTGGTATATGATAGAAACATTTAAATACATAAAGGGAATCAACACAGTAAAGGAGGAGACTTTATTTAAAAGAAGAAAAACTACCACAACAAGAGGGACATTAGAGGGACAAAGGTTTAAAAATAATATCAGGAAGTATTACTTTACTGAGAGGGTAGTGGATGCATGGAATAGCCTTCCAGCTATAGTGGTACAGGTTAACACAGTAAAGGAGTTTAAGCATGCGTGGGATAGGCATAAGGCTATCCTAACTATAAGATAAGGCCAGGGACTAATGAAAGTATTTAGAAAATTGGGCAGACTAGATGGGCCGAATGGTTATCTGCCGTAACATTCTAGGTTTTATATTGTCATGCACTGACAAGTACACTGCAAATGCAAAACCACTGATACACACAAACAAATACACACACACACACAAACCCATTCACTCCAAGATATTTCAGAAATACTGTCCGGTACTAGCAATGACATTCCTCACAATAAAAAGTCTGATGCATACACAGCAAAAATGCAGTGTACTTGCACTGAATGCACATGAAATTCCCACACAAGCTCATATTGTTTCATCAAACAAAGAAACTCTCACAAATACAGATATTCCACACATAGGGCTATATACTAAAGTAAAAAAAAAAAAAATTTGGGAATTTAAAGTGAGTTTCAAATTAAAAGGACAAATTAGCCAAACTGGAAACATTACCCAAGTCAACTCTTCTTCCATTTTATGTATGGTTTCCTTCCCTATAGCAAGGTTTTAAATATATAGAGTTCTGATGGTGTGTTTGCAAATGTATTTTCGGTGTATTTTGCTTTTATGGCTTTTTTTTATAGTGCTTGCCCTTTAAATGGCGATGAGTAGAGGGTACTCAATCTAATGACTTAAAAACAATATATATTGTTAAAATTCTTTGGGTGTCTGTTGCATGTGTATTAACCTAGAAAATGGTCTCAGATGTATAAATTATGCTTTTTTTAGTCCACTATCTACAAGGGATATTAATAAGGGAATAGGTATAGAAGGAGCAGGAATAGGGTGTACACACTTAAAAAAGCTTAATTACAATAGTTGCACTAGGTTAAACTATTTTGCCTTTTGGTATTGTGCTATACCACACTCCTAGATCATATTTTTGCTTTGGACATGACTGTCCATTAGTTTCCTGCTTTAAGGTGCTACACTTTTTTGTTAGTGGATCCCACACACTCAAGGAGCTGACGCTTCCAGCGTTTGGATGTTTGAGTGGCACACGGCCACTAATTTTGTGAGTTACAGCAAATAGGGATTTTTTTAAAAAGGGGGCTAAATTTGAGCAATATTGCATTAATTTTGTTTTTCTTGGATTTAGTAGGGAGTTTATAGTGCACCCGTTTTATGTTTTTACAGTGTTGTTTTTGAGTGAAAAGTTATAGTGATTGTGTATATTGTAAAGCACTTTTTACATTGTTTTAAAATGTATTGAGCTTTACTGTGTCAGTGTGAGCCTGTGTATAGTGAGCTTGTTTGTCTCAGTGTGAGCCTGTCTTTAGTGAGTTTGTGTGTCAGTGCGAGCTTTGTTTATAGTTATCATGTCTGTTTTAGTGTGAGCTTGTCTATAGTAAACTTGTGTGTCAGTATGAGCTTTTCTTTATTGATAGGCTAGTATTATGTTCAGGTCTTTTCTTTCTTATTTTTTTTTCACCAACAAGATCCAAAATGAGGAGGCGGGGGTAGTCTTTTAATCAAGCACATACGGTATATAACGTCAAGTGTCACGCTTTAATTTGGATTAAGTATTCTTCCATTTTGGCTACTTTGGCCTTAAATTTGAAATTCTCTTTGAATTAACCATAATTATCACTTTGATGTATAACCCTGATGGAAACTCTCACATATTGCACATACAGGGGCCATCTTTCATCTGCGGTGGCCCTCTTCTGCTGGCACTTCAGGAGCCAATGTCACTGCTCTACTCTTGCGCATTCACAATATTAGGAGTACTGAAGTCTGTGGATGGTCATCCAAGGCTGCGCGATCCTCCATAGATTAAGCCAGTTCCGTGTAGCCATTACTGATGACAGCTGGGGGATTGACACTTCTAGACTGCGGTAACTCCGCCCAGTGTCTAGAAGTAGTCCTTACTTTGTCTCAGTAAATCTTTTGACTGGGTCCAAATTTCATTGAAATTCCAACATAGTCAGTATGAGATTCTATAAAATGTTTTATCTTTATGAGATACTCATTTTGCAGGGGGGAGTTGGTAGGAGGGGTTGACAGAACCACTATAAAACAGGTTACATTTGTCGAGGGTAATACTTGATGACAAATGGGAAGGACTGAAATATATGAACTAGGATCAAATACACGAAACCAGATAAAACTGACAAATAGGATGTCAGTGTGTCTCAAACTGTGTGCATCAATCTCTCTCTGACTTTGAGATATATGATTTACCCAAGACTTAAAATTTCAGGTTCTACGCTACTAGCCAGATCTTAAAAATTACTTGCCACTTGAAACCTGGAGGTTCCTTGACATACTTGCCGGGGATGTGAGCTATATTCTTATTCAAGTGAATGATCTCCCAATGAATGCATTATGAATGCATAGTTTTTTCCGGTAATTTTTTTAATATAAAAAGCACATGTATACATTGTACATAAGAACACATTTAGAAGATTTAAATGCCAAAGTTATATGTTTTATTTTTTTTAATCAAGTAATTCAATAAAAACCTCACAATATCCATGATTGACAGATATAAAAAAGACACTAGGCATGAAATGAAAATATAAAATACATGATATGCAGAAAGGCAATCAGTGCTTCAGTCCGTTGAGAAGACAGTAAACAGGCAATATGACCCATAAAACTTCAATTCACTGTTTTTTCTTTTTTTAACATAGAATACATAAAATTCAAGCAATGTTGGTTTATACTCTTGTAAACGTGTTATAATAAAAAGGAAAATAAAGTAATCTATACTACAAAAGTTCACTTAAACTATATAAGACAAAATATCCATAAACAGGGAAAAAATAAAAATCAGTGTTTACTTTGGTCTCTATTGTGGTTATTACTATAATTATTGCCAAAAGCAAACAAAAGGTAGTTAACAGCTGCGTGTTAAACCGTTTGTTGCTTACAGTAATAATTCAAGAGGTAGCCTGTACTGGTCTAATAAAGCTGGTGGCTTGCTGCTCATACTATACTATGGATTCATCAAGAGCATTACATTGCATGCCAGAGGTTCAGAGGGTTACATCACTGAGAAGAGAAGCCTATCTCACCTTTATTCTTACTTCATTGGAAATAAGTTATTATGGTGCAAGGAGGTTATTGGTGCCAGCTTACCGCTCAGATTTTTCAAATGGGAAGCATCTGACTGCCTCTGACAGGGGTGTTGCTGACTGGCTTAGAGCATCAACATGCTGCTCTAAGCTAATCATTGGCTCCCTATTAAAAAAAAAAAAAAAAAATGGCTTGAGAAATGTACTTATCTTTCTCAAGCCATTTTTATGAATTGGGAACTACATTAGCTTAGAGGGTAAGCTGACGCTCTCAGCGCCAATCAGCATCACCCCCAGAGGCAGTCCAAGGCAACCCGTTTGAAAAATCTAAGAGAATCGTAAGGACAGTGGAAGAGCTGAACAGCACTGGAGAGAAGACTTTGGGGTTGACCAATGCATGGACAGTTTAAACCCCTATAGTTAAACCAGCACCAGGTACCTCCTGGCCCACAGGTTCCCTTTACCCATGCTCAGTGAAAATATATTCAGCAAAGATGCACAATAATTTTATCTGGAAAGAGTTTTATTAAAACGTTGCTATTTAAAGAGGCTCTGTCACATCTGAGATGAGAGTATATTTGAATCAAGCACATAAAAGCAAATGTTTTATTTTTTTATACTCTATAGAATTGGCATTATATGAAACAAGTTTATAATTGTTTAGTATGGATTTTCTATTGCAATGAATGCATCACACATATCTAGGTTTTATTCATTATCACACATTTACTGGCCTTTGACTTGTATGACATGTCACAGCTTCTTAAATATCAGCTAACTGCTGGAAATGAATGTAGCTCATATAGTAAGAACATGCTTGGTGCAAAAAAAATAAATGCCAAGAATAGATTGTGGGTACACGCAGTATGAACCAGTGACACAAATCCATCTTTCTTAACTGAATATTCAGTACAATTTATTTTGCTACCCTGCCCATCATGGTGATAAGGTAAAAGAACAAAGGCAATTAAACAAAACTAGATAACTCTTCAAAACATTTCTTCTGCCTGGTTCTTAACCATCTTTGTGGGAAACTATCATATTCCCTTGGCAATATGCCAATTCCAGCTGTCTCCTTTACCTCCCCAAAACAGCCGCCTTCTCTGTTTCACTCATTTTTACGGTCAATAAAAAAAAAAAAGCTGCTGCAATTTTTGTTTGTGTTATTGTATTGCCTACATCTCACAGCATTTGTCTATGTTCTCAAATTTAAAGGAAGCAACATTTCTCGGTATAAGACACGCTTTTGAAAGAGATCAGATACATTTTTGTGTTGGATTCATAAATACTCTTATCTCATTTTGGACAGTCTGCTTGCCCTATAACATTTTAAAAGAAGATTTGCTTCTACGGCCATAACTACTAGCCTTAATACCATTTGTGAGCTAGCTGGCTGGTTCAGCCTCGTGGGACTTGTAGTTTACAAACACTAATGGAACCAAGGTCTTACTATCAGAGCATTATAAAATGTAACCCCCTTAGTACTTGATGAAAAATACAACTCCGTATTTGATCAAAGTACTTCAATAAGTTGGAAAAGAAGAAAAACCCAGTTCACAGACAAGCCTCCAACTGTTATTCATCAAATTAGAAAGATGCCAGTTCATTTTGTACTGCAATAATGCAAGAGCTGTAGTGAAAATAGTTAAGAAAGGGATGATTAGTTCTTGAAGAGGTACAACTCAATACATCTAAAAAGTCTGATCTTGCATATGCACATATCCCCCCAACCCTGATCTAACTTATAAATGGGTGATTTTTATATCACATATATAACTTTAATGATAAACATTTCTTAAAAGGAGATAAATAAATTTAAATTACTTTTAAGACTTGTTGAGATCCCTCAGGTAATATCTTTTTAATAGAGAATGTTATTTGATGCATAAAAAACTAAAATATTAAAGAGGTTTAGCTAAATAAAAATACGTGGGTATTATTAGTTGCAGGATTTCAATAATAATAAAAATGTCTAAAAAAAAACAACAAACCAGAACTTCCAAAATCAGGTGATTAAACATTTCATACAATGACTAATGTTACACCATGATTAGAGAGAATAAGTACTGATGACATCCCTTAAAAAGTGTCAAACAGCAACATTAAGTAGATTAAACACAGAAACAATGCATTGATTGATATTCCCTCTGGCAGTTTTTAGTTAAAGAAAAAAAATATACATTTATATATACCATTCAAAAGATAACTTTGTTTAGGTGCAATATGAAGACAACTGCTGGTGCTTGTCATGCACACCACATTTATTTTTCTCTTAACCCACATATCTACCGGGCACTGCTACGCACTTAGAGAAGGGTTACATTTTCTTGGTGTCAGCTGTACCCAATAACATTGCTCATTGGATATGAGGCACAAGAATAGTCACTTTGCTGCGTCTCCTGTTTATTTAATGGTTCATACTTATATATTAGCACTTTCATTGCACAATTTGTTGTGCAATAACAAAAATCTTCTATTGTGGTACCATTTGATTAAAACAGGATATTAAATTGAATGCCTATTTAAGAAGGAAAAAAAATGGGCATGACGTTTAATCCATAATTTACTTTTCAATTTATTATACCTACTGTTTAATAGTTATAACAACATGTTCTATACTTCTACTCCCCATAACACAGAGATGATGAACTTTCTGTCCTTGGTACAAAACAGCAAAGGAATACATGGCGAGCCGCGAGAAGACTTCCAATCTATGATGTTTTTCATAAGGAACATGTGGGGTCAGTGGACCTGTATTCTATAAACACTATACAAGATTAGAATAGAACTGAGGTAGGAAATCTTCAGCACTCCAAATGTTATGTCCTACATATATACAAATCCTTTGCAGCATTATGGCTGAAAGAACAGTAAGAGAAATATAGTCCACAACATCTGGAGTTCCGACGGTTGCCTACACCTGGAACAGAACATGAATGGCCCATTGCTACATACTTGTACGGCAGGTGTGTCTTGTACTTATGACATTGCAGTTTGATAACTGTATCAGGGAATACAATTTATAGTCCTAAGCTATTAGCCAGGCCTTAAAAGTTACTTGCCATCACAAGAGAGTCCATGGCACACTCACTACGGGTAAATTTCTACTCATCAGGGCTAAATTGTCACTTGCCAATGCCTAGTGGGAATGTTGAGCCCTGCCTCTATGAAGCTTTGCATACAGGTCAGGAAGCTCTACACATCTCCATGACTGAGAAAGTAGCAGTATAAAACAAGCGTTATCTGTTAAACGATAGCTGCAAGAATGACCAGAAAAGATAAGAGCATATGATACATGACCATTTGTTTTGGAAGATCCTCTACTTCAGGGATAGTCAACATTTGGCACTTCAGCTATTGTGGACTACATCTTTGATAATGCTCTTGGAGCTATGATGCAGGCAAAGCATCAAGGGAGATGTAGTCTACAACATATGGTGTGCTGAAGGTTGCCTACCCCTGCTCTACTTGATTAGAAAAGTTGAAAAGTACAGATGTGGTTAAAAGCATTCCCAGTTGTAACAATGTCAGTACCCTATAACAAGGAGGCTTCAATCCAAACATGCATTTGGAATCATTTTACTAAAGACATCACTATAAAGTGTATAGATATGCAGCTGTCTTCCATAGGTTATTCCAATTGCACAGCATATAAAGTCTTGGCTAAACATAAGGATTAACTTGATTCAAAATAGATATACACAACAAGTAAAAAAAAAAAAAAAAAAAGTACCATTGATATGAAATTTACCTATACGGCTTGAGCAGCATAAACAAATGCTATGTGGTTATATGAGGTAGCCTTTTGCTGTAAACAGAATAAAAAAATCTTACCTATGTAAACATTGTGAATACAACCAAAATGAAAAGAGAAATCATGACTATTCACATACGTAACCAGAATATGAACATAGTATTACACTGAACACATGAAAGTAAAACAAATCCACCAAAAAATATGTATCTGATTATCAGAATTGTGGGTCGAGGTCAAACTTGAGAGGTAGTTACTAACACCAGTATATAACACTTAATATATTAGATATAAAGGTCTACATCTATTTGGTTTGTTCCGATATAGCAGGTCTGTAGACGATTCAGTTATGGAAAACATCGTAACATGGTATATTCCCTGAGCAAAGTTCTTAGTCCTGAGTATGTTCTGAAATTGTGATAATATTTTCATATACAAAAATAAAACCTAGGTTTTACGTAGGTTCAGTATGTGCTCATTGCGGTTCCGTTTGATAGGGTGTATATGTTGTTGACAACATGATGAACAGGATGACAGTTTTTTTTTTTGTTTTTGTTTTTTATTGTTCTGGTCTCTGCTCTGAACTATATTCATGTAAACAGGGAATGCCCACTTTTTAAATTCCACAAAACTTTCTATTTTCCAGAAAGCGAGGAAACTTTGGTTTCAAGATGCAAAGTGACTTTTCTATGATTTTCTTTTTTCTTTCACATAGATGTTGCGTAACTGGCTCAACCAGAGAATCGGGACTGCACTCAGCCCACTTATTGCACCAGCAGCCAGATTATGTAATGCCACTTTGATTCGTCTACGTTACTTAAATAAGACAACTTTTTTTTTTTTCCTTACTTAAGGCAAGGAAGTAACTCCATCGATACAACACATTCAATATCGTCAAAAGTTAAACTTTGCATTAGACTACACTGATAAAAAAAAAAATAATCAAAAAATAAAATAAAGTTATAACCATTGAGAAACACTCACGGAATTCAAGTGTAGTAACTCGAAATGTGCCTGGTGGATACAAAAAAACTTTTTAAGCAGCAACAATAGTAAAATGGGTTAAAACCGTGTTAATACTGCAACATCATTTCAACAGTCCAACTCACAAAAGAGTGGTTCTTAAATGTCAGTTCACTTTAACAAAGTTTATCACCAATGCACCTTACATATCAGCCATTTGGCTATTTTGAAGTCTCACTTTATGTTTGAAGAATCACATAGTTGTCTTGGAGATGATACATGTTTTTCAATAAAGCCCTATCAATTAAGTAAGGTAAAACCTGCCAAATACATCCAAACCATAGTACTACTATTATAAGCATATTTTCCCACTGAACAGAATATATGCTTTAAAGAGAAGGGTAATAAACATCCAAAATGTTCTACAATCTTTTAGTCTTTTGAAGTACATAAAATGCCTCGAGTCCTATTCATAGTTCACAAGTATGGAAACAGAATTCACAAAGACAGTTTTGGAAAACATGATTTAGGGGTAGAAAATGTCTTCTTTGGTCCAATCAGAAAAATTTGAGAGAAGAAATGTGTGGTCAAATTATGAAAAAAATTGTAAAAAGGGGAAAAAAATGGTTCAAAATCTGTAAAATAAAAAAAACTTTAGTAGGAAGAACCGGAAACCTGGTCACTATTGCTATTGTTAACACTATCTATATCTAAGTGTAAAAATACAATGTTGCTGCTGTTATTAATTACAGCAACAAGGAAAAATAAGCAGCATGTTCCATTGAGAAACTTGCCTCGGCTTATAACAAACCACGCAGCCTTATATCATATAAAAACTTATATATAGAATGTCACAGACATACTGTCTACAAGTTTATTAAGTGGCATCATACCTTAATCGTATCATCATAGACTGGCCTTAATGGACTGTGTAGCTTCATTTTGGAGAGCTATATGACTTCGTAATGTCATATCATGTTAAATGTATAATGTCCCTTTAAGTCACCCTACATATCACATGCTTTAAAATGCCCATATGCATTGATTATTTTCTGAATTACTTACGGAAAATTTGCTCTACAAGAAGATTAGTATCATCCGTCCTACACAAATGATTGTTCTAAGGACAGGTATGTGATAAAAGATCATATCAAATGTTTCAGTAAAATAAAAGGAAAGTTAAAATGCGATGTGAGTAAACAAATAAAGGAAACTAAACTGGGATGGATCACTGTTCTACTGCAACACGCTTCTCAGAGACACTTTGATAACTAGTAATCCTCTTTTTAAACAAATTTAAGCCTGCTTCCAAAAGCAGCAGTTAAAACAGTTTACATGTTCCAGACATATGTGCCACACATAATTTCTTACTCAAAATGGGCTAAAAGAGATCTAAAAATACAATAGGTTGACCCTGCATTATTACTGACATGTTAATGTTTAAAATTAGGCGTTTTTATAAAAAAAAAAAAAAAAAAAGGAAAATGTGCTTTATTTACAGCATCTCTGATTTCAACAGAGGAGCTGGCGAACACATAAATGGCAACATATTCTCTGATCATTAACTACATTTGATGGGCATTTATGACCTATCAAAAGTATATTCAACAAGTGTATGCTATCCAGCACCATCAAACATGGAAATAAACTGTGTTTGAATTGCTATGCTCAACACACGGGCTCACAAAAACGGTAGCCGTAGGTTCATTTAACTGAAATGGTTATTCTCAATTTATCTTCATGATTACAAAATATTGGACATAATCGAAAAAGTGGGGGGCTCACAGAACAGAATAAAAATTTTAAAAATACACTATTCATGGTCTCTTCTTGATTTCTTACAGATGAACATATTTTTAAAATGACACCTAAAGCATAACTGGCTTACACTATTGCTTTTGGTGGGACGTTAAAACTGCTGGAACAATTGGATCAAGCCATGTTAAAAATCAAATTCAGTGTTAAATTAAAAATTATTAGCATCTGATTACTGGATCTAGAAATAAAATGATTCGGGGCACAAAATCCAGAAAAGCTGTTTCCAGAGGGAAAAAAAAAAAAAATATTGGAATTAAAAAAAAAAAAAAGGGTATTGCTTCATACTCCGATGTGTCCTGGGAATGAGGCAAATCGCATTGAAGAGATACTTCCCATACATACATATTCCATCTGAAAATCGTAGGTGGGAATGTATATGCAAAAGGACATGATACAGACATGCACACACACACACAAATGAGGTAAAAACACAAGACACCCTGCATATTCAGTTTGCTCGGAGTGATTTGTCTATTTGTAGATTTGATTCATCCGTTAATTCACATTTCCTGAACAGTAGTTAAGATTCCAGGTCAGTTGCGAATAGTGAAATGACTTCCCCTGTACTTGCATGAGGTAGAACTTCCCAGAGAGGGCAAATCTAAGGGATTCGGGACAAAGCCTTAAGTTTTTTTTCGTTTTAGAACAGAAGGCCCCTTTCTGCTTTGTTCTTCAGGCGATGCAGATACCTTACTTAAGGAAGATTCTTGTGGTGACCTGCTTGAATGTTCTGACAGCTCTGATCTTCCCTCTTGAGAATACGATGGAGATGAATAACCAAACGCCCCTCCCCCTTCTCTCAGAAATGTTGAAGTTGAAGGCTGAGGTTCTCCTTCATATCTTCCCTGAGAAGTTGTTGGATGAGGTGGAACCGTTTTGTGTGGGCAGTTAGCTACCATGTGCATTATGCTTTGACAGTAATGGCACTTTTTTGGCTGAGGAGGTAGATTGCATTCCTTAGCGTGATGATCAAGGCCTCCGCAGTTGTAGCATCTGAAATTAGTAATAACAAACGTTTAATGAAGCAGACAGTGATTACCACCAAAACAGTACAAAAGACAGCACAACTCCAATATAAAACCTTACAAACACACACAAACTAAACATTTACATGTATTGAAATTAATTTATTACTTTTTAAAATTTTACTGTTAAAAGCTCCAAATGAAACTATAAAGATAATAAAACATCTTAATATAATGGTCTACCACTGAAATGAAAGGCTTCAATTGGACATAAAAAGAACAGCAGCACATCATTGGTCATACTTCGCTATAGTGCTGGAATAGATGTTTAGGTCCCTGGCCCCACTCTGTTGAGTTTAAAGGTGATTAAAGGACCACTATAATAACAGGAAAACAAACTCGTTTTCCAGGCACTTAGGGTCTTAAGTACCCCCCACCCTCAGGGTCTCACTCCCGCTGGGCTGAAGGGGTTAGAACCCCTTCAGCCACTTAACTTTCTCCAGCGCCGTGCTCACTCTGTGCTCCTCCTCCACCTGACGTCAGCGCCGAATGCGCATGCGTGTCAAGAGCCACGCGCACATTCAAACCGTCCATTGGAAAGCATTTCTTAATGCTTTCCTATGGACGTCCAGCTTCTTCTCACTGTGATTTTCACAGTGAGAAGTGCGGAAGCGCCTCTAGCGGCTGTCAGTGAGACAGCCACCATAGGCTGGATTAACCCTCAGTGAAACATAGCAGCTGCAGGGTTAACACTAGATGGACCTGGCACCCAGACCACTTCATTAAGCTGAAGTGGTCTGGGTGCCTATAGTGGTCCTTTAAACGTACCCTTTCTCCCTGTCTCACCACAGTTGGCTTCGCTGGCTGAGATAATCAGTGTTGATGGTCTCAGCCAATCAAATGCTTTGCCATAGAAAAGCATTGGGAGGAAATTGCGTGTGTGCCGCAAAACACTGCACCAATCAGCATCTCTATGCAGACTGTAGAGATGCTGTACTTAGGAAGCACCTCTAGTGGCTGTCACTAGGCAGGAATGTAAACACTTTATTTGCTCTAAAAAAATTCAGCTATCGTGGTTCTGGTGATTATATTGTCCTTTTAAGTGGCCTTTTCACCGAAAAAATTTTTGTTTCTGATTTATTTATATCCTGAGCGCGTATTTTCATAAAGAAAAGTACGAATTACTTTTCCTTACATATAGCAGTCAAACGAACAATGGCCTGTTCTGTTTCAGTTGCCAATCAAATTCACCCACAGTCCATCTATAGGATGAATTCCACATAAAGGTAAACAGCAGACATCATGGACAGAGGAAAACAAAATGGCTGCTCTTAGACACAGGTTTCAGAGAAGAAAAAATAATAAATATACATAAAAGCAAGTGGCAAGGAGAGGGAAATAGAGTCAATAAGATACAAGGACAGTAATGAAAGAAAACCCAAATGAAAGACTAAAATATTACAGGGTCACATTAAACTGTGCTGTGAAGGAATGAAGATGATATATTGATATATTTTCTATGTTTAGCTCCTGTGTGTGGAGGCAATCTCAAGAAAAGGAGCGGTAGTAGCGGTAGTATTCACAAGCAACTAGGAAGTCTTATGAGTGCAAATGATTAGTGGAAATCACTGATGCAAGGTTACACCATAGAAAATCATGGAATTTGGGAACCATTGCTTATGGTTTTTTTTTTGCTAAATTATTCCTGTACTGTGGGGCAATCACGGAGGATAAATATGAGTGAACCATGCCAATAAATGCAAGTAATTTAACTTTATATAAGATACATAAATGGACACTTTGTTGAGGGGCCAAGAAATACAGTAGGACTAACATTTTTTGTGAAACACAATACTTGATAGGAGGACTAGTTTGAGGTTTCTGAAACAACAAGACAGTACACTATAATAAACAATATATTTCTTGGTTTTTATTTTTTTCCCAATGAGTGTCATAGCTTCAATGGAAGGTAAATTACTTAATGGTCGGTATCTCAGAGGAAGGAAAAAAGTGAATATACTGACCGTTTATTTATTTTGACTTTTTGCTATTTTTATCTAGTACTCTAAATGTAAGTTGACCACTGAACAGATAGTCCAGGCTGTGTAGTTTTAAAAGCATATACCACTTTCAACCGACATTCCTATTTTTGGGGTTTTTTTAAACGTCAAACTCAGAAACGTCAATGATGGGAAATTGCAAAAGCATGTGGCCACAAATTAATTTTAAAAAGTGATAGGTGCAGTTTTGGGATTTTGATTTTAAACAATTATCTTTAGCATAGGTGGCGCACCGAACAATAAAATTATTATTATTATTATTTATTTTTTTAAATGTTGCCTCATAAAAGGCGTAAAAGAAAAATGGAACACAAAAGCATACATGGATTTTTAAATCCACAAGGGGGCGCTTTAAGCATGTCTAGATATTGAGTTCTGTAAACATTTATGGATATGTGCATTTGCCCTTTCATATCATAAAACTAATTAATTTACAATGCACTTGTTATCAGATTTGATAATGGTGTGTGTGTATATATATATATATATTTATATATATATATACACACACACATAATTATATATACACACACACTTTTAAAATACTTAATTTTATTATGAATTTAAAAAGTATATAACTATAATATAAAATGTTGTAGATCACACACATTTAATTAAATTTTATTTGGCAGATTGGGATTATATAAAAAAAATATTTTGAAGATCACCTTACAATAATGTTATTTTAAAGAAAACAAAGTTATTAACAGCGTAAAATTATATACTTGCACATTTATAACATCGAATATTCTTTTCTAAGAGGAACATAGAAATCATTCTTAAATTGCATTTAGTGTATACAAAGATGAGAGCAGGTTTACTTCCAGTCACATACCAATATTTTGAATTCAACAAAAATCTAAAATCAAAATTTTTTTGCATGTTTTTAAGTTAAGGAAAACTTAAATTAGTGTATAACTTTGTATTTAGTACATAAGATACTGAAATAAGTGTAATAACTTTTTTGTCCAAAATTATTTTTATATCTGTAAAATTTTAAAATAAGAATAAGAACTGCCTGCCACAAAGTTGCCATATAGCATCATCAAAAGTATAAGAAAAATAAAAAGGGTCTGCGTATTTTAAAAAAATATATATATATTTTTTCATCACTGGATCTTTTTTTTAATTTTGCAGCAGAACAAAGACAGAACATATGAATAAAACACAGAAATGTCTACATTCTATATATCTTTAGGTTTTTAAATACGAGCAGGAATAACGTTTTTGTTATATTTTTTTTAACTCTGCATTAAATTTATTAAAACTCTGCATTGTGTACAGTAAAATACCACCATACAAAAATGCAACCCTCTAATGAACATTATTAATTGCAGAGTAACAAGTACAAAGACTACAGGTATTTTCAAACATAAAATAAAATGTAATTTAAATCAAAACTTAAAAAGGTTTCACATATCAATAAAAAAACAAACAAACAGTGATATGTGTTTAAGAAAGATATATTGACCTGGGAAAAAGAGCCAACGCACTTTTAATAAACACAGATTGAATTTACTCTCGTGCCACAGAGATGTGTTCAACTACATCTGTACAAAATAAATGTAAAATTGACATTAAAAAAAAATAACTGCTGTCATACAACTATGATTATCAGATTCCAGACAATGAATGGATAAAAAAGAAAACAAAAAACGGAAAATCACTATAGGCTCAACCTGGAACGAATGATAGGATAAGAATTGTATTTCAGAATATACATCTAATTTCTAATTATTAAAGACACTGAAAAATTTTATTAAAAGATTGCAAAACTATCAGCTCAATTTGAACTGCATCATTGACATGGGACAGCTTGTGTTTTTCAGCGTTTGTATCTCTCTTGTTAAAACCTAGATTAACAGGCAGCTCTAATGAGAAAGGTGTTACAGAGTCTCTGTAGAGGTGCATGCAGCCTGCAGCAATGGATAAATCAATTTAATCAGTCACTATGGCATGCACTGTGTTATTCGAATCAGTGAACCATTTCACATTACCAATTGACCAAAAACCTGCTGTCAACTTTCAGTTTCCATACATTGGGACAATCTGTACGAATTAAAGAACTACAAGGGCATTTTGGAATCTGCAATAAGGAAGCAGTGAAAGACAAATAGTCTTGTTTTATACTCAAGCCTTACTGATGCTTGCTCAGATCAAACGTGCTTCCTTACTGATGCAGTGTTTTCAATGTTACTGCTTCACTGTGTAAATGATAAAATGGAAAGAAGAGGCACTACATTCATTTTTTCGAGTAATAAAGTCTTGAGTTTGGCGTGATCATATTAGGGATTCACACACTATTTTCTTTTTATCCATTTTACTCAAATTATTTAAAGGGAAGATAATTATGAGCGATCAACCTTAAAAATAAAACATACACAACACTTACTATTTATCTATACCCAGACAAATGTATTAAAAAAAACAACCCACAAACAAAATATAAAAAGCTGCTTTGTATTTGTCAGTTGCTACACTTAGGAATATTAATATATGGTAACTATAAATCAGGAAACAAACATATCTAAATTCTTGGGTTTCTTAAACCATGAACAGGTAAACTTACAGTAGACATTTGGGTCATGTGTAGTTTAAAAGTCAAACAAGGTAGCACTGTGGGTTTTTTTTTCACGCCAGGAATGTTTCTTATAACAGGAGAATATGGATACATGTGGCTACCAGATAGCTATAGTAGACTGCGTGAAGAATATACATGTCGTTTAAATCCAAGGACATATAGAGACACAACAGGTGTAAAATTGCATGTAGAAGAAATAAAAAATATCAAAAAACAAAGGGAAAAAAAGATGCAAGAGATCAGATACATAATGTAAGCAAATTATAAGTGGTGGTGGTGGGGAGGGGGGAATTATGCTGGTGATTGTAAAATCAAACACGAGAACAAAAAGGCACTCTTTACGTTTTCACACAAGTGGGTTTTTTGAAAGAAAGAAAGAGACCAATAAATAACGATTCTAAATTTTAAAAAAAGTCAGTCAGTCATTTGCTTATGCTATACTAAACTGAAATAAGAACTTGATTAGCTAAGAAAGCTCAACTGCAATTTATGTCTATGAATGAAATAAATATATATATTTTTTAAAGAAAGCCAATAAGGAATCAGACAAAACTGGGTGTACATTCATTGTAAGAGTTGTGTTATAATCACAGTTTGCAATGATACAATAATAAGCTTTTGGCACCACATTGTGATGTTTGTCAAGGCTTCAAATGGTGTCAGAAAAATCTTTGGAAAAGACAATTTGTGTAGGAAATCTAACCATTCCTCACACATATTTTTAAGATGTCTGTATGTATATTAATTGTAATTTTTCTCCTAAGCAATGTAACGTCATGGATGCTAACTAGGGACTACATTGTTGTAAGGATAATAAACAGCAGTTCAGCACACAATTATTTGTATTACTAGATCATTTAAGCATTAGGTGGGACCCCTACACTTAAGCATTCAAATCCCTGCCATTTTTTTTTTTTTGGCGTGGGACATGCACTAACATGACTTCTAAAACAGAGCAGTAGAGAAGAGGCAGGAAGTGCAACACTGTTCTAAAATGTTAGCATTCCTAAGGGAATAACACTTTCCCTTTAGCAAGGGAAACACTTTACTAACAGAAAAAGAAAAGAAATGGGAAACAAAGATAAACAATGCCCCTTAAACATAAAAAATAACAATAAAAAAAATAAAAATAAAAAAAGTAAACCACACACTACAAGATGAAAAATGATCAAATCCATGAGATAATTATATTTAGATTATATTTTATAAAAAATTAAATTAAAAAAAGAGATAGGAACCATGCCTGCAATATGTGTGTATATACATATACAAACACACATATACATACATATTTCTCAATGCCAAGCAGATTGCTATAAAAATTTAACATGGATTTAATTGATATAGTCAGTGACAGAATTGTGATACAACATTAGTATTTTCTCCAATAACCCTACATAGCCTACAATCTAGCTGAAAGATAAATATGAACAATCTAAGCAGGGAATTGCATTTTACATATGTCCAACAAATCCCAGAAACTTCAGCACCTTCAACACAATATTTTATTTATTGTTGTGTACAAATATGCTTCTTCCTCCCCCTCCACCTCCTTTTCTTAGAAATACCATTCATCAAAGTCCCACATAAATGCATACAGAATCCCAATTCCCAGGATGATTTTAATTATCATAAGCGAGTTTGTATGCAAGTGGGACTTGGCTGCTGCCCTAAAGAGAGTGTTTAATCACAGGGCAGACCCAAAGAATGCCCATAAATCGCTGGTTAACAGTAAAGAGTAAGCATTGCTCCATCATTCTATGCTGTAATAGTTTCATATCACATACAGTTACATTTAGCACTTGGACAGTTTTTTGCCTATTTTGGACCAACAGCAAAAATAAATGTGAGCTAGGCTGAACTTGATGGCCGAATGTCCCTTATCAGCTATGTAACTGTGCAACTATATGTAGCAGATCGAAATTCGATTAGTACCTTAACAACAAGTGAATCTACATAAGTATCTAACACACTCCTGTGACCTTGCCTGAAATGATACAAGTACTAATGGTTAGAAAAATAAATCCAGTAAAAAATTTCACATGCACAACAAATACACCGAAAACAGATATTGTACCGACATGTGTGTATACCAATAAGCTTTATGCATTTGCAAATACCTAAGTCACTCACTTGATTGACTCAAAGCTTCATTGTTTTGGGGTTTATGCCACATGTATTTTAAGCATATTTCTTCCAACACGAATACTAGCTCCTGCATTTTATAAACACAAATGTGTACTAAAATGGATAATTTGTTTCTACATAAGCACTCAGACACATTTATTTACAAAGAGTTTTACTAGGGTGCATACAGAGAAATGTCCTGGAAAACACATAATAAGAGTGTCACAAACAGTCTTCATATGGTCTTTTCCTATTCCATTATGGTGCATCGCAGGTTTATTGGGTCTTGGATGTCATACGATTGAAGTATACAATAAAAAAAAAAAAGCAAAACAAAACGAACAGTGAGTGGCACTAAATATCAAATAAAACTCAAGTCCAGCTGTTAAAGATTAATGTGGTTTCATTATTAAAACAGAAGTAAAAACGAAAAAAAAAAAATTATTTAGAAGCAAAACCTTAAATATCTTTTAAAAAAAAAAGATCCCACCAAAATGTATTAATTTGATTTAATTTATTAAAAAAGAAAAAATGGACTCTCAAATAATATCTTGTAGTTCCATAATTCTTAATGTATTAGGCTTCAACATGATCTCACTAAATGCTACAATACATTTATATTCTAGATTAGGAAAATGTTTAAGAGATTAGACATATAAAAATATGTTGTGTTTTGTTGGTGAGTAAAAACACAAGCTGATATATTCAGTCTACAAGTGGTTATGGTTATGCACCATTTCCAGGCTCTTTTGGAAAATATATGGAGAGGGGAAACTTCTAATGTAGAATTAAACAGAAGAAATTTATTACATTAAATGTCCTCAAGCAGGATAAAGCTTTATTATTATAAGCACAAATTCTGCAATTTCTGAGCTTCTAGAAATTTCACTGTAGCAGTGCTGTGTTCTGGAAAAAAATCCTGTTATTATTAAGCCCTGTAGTTGTCTTATCCAGAAGTAGTTTGTCTTTACACAAATCTAGCATCATTTTTAAAATAGAGTGATTTTTCATTTTATTTGTTACAATTTTTTTATTTATTGTTTAAATATGATTATTAGCATTTCCCCCCAGAAATGTTAGATTTGTGAAAGCAAGCAAACTAAAATGTTGAAAATAGATTATAGAATACTGAGAAAAGATCATCAGTCCACCTGATTCATAAAAAATAATCACCACCATCCCCAATAATCAAAAATAGGCATTCTGCAAGTTTCACATTCAAAACAGTGGTTGTGGAATGTATTTATTTTCAAACTTTCAGAGACATGCATTATACAAAAATAAATAAAAACCCAAGTAGGGATGATTTTAGCACCATTGTTTAATATAAATGTAACTACATTCCATTTCCAAAAATAACTGCAACCACAAAAAAACAAAAAAAACCTATCATTTCACTGCAACCAATTGTTAAAAAAAAAATACCACATTAATGCCAACAGTCCAATAAAGAAAATATTCCCAAATTTAACAATGCACAAATCCAGAATTTATTGTTTTGTTTTTTTTCATACATACATACATTTTATTAGTTTGGTTATACTGTATTCCACATGATGCTACCATTTTAAAAACTAATCCACATCCTGGTCACTTGCCTGAAAAAACAATAGATCATCAAAATCAAATTATACAAATGTTATATAACTAAGCAAATTTTAGTTCTATGCTTATTTACAGCATAGTACACTTCAGCCACTTTTTTTTATTGAATTAAATATTGAAAATCCAAACAGGAAGGGTGGTTGCCATGTAGGTGGTTGCTAGATATGATGGTATCTAAATAGATGGACATGTTTTCTACACCAAAATATACTTAAGGAGGCAAGTACCTCACAATAAACACTTCTAAGACAGTGATGACTGAATATGTGCTGTTGAACTAAATTTGCCTTGAATCCCAGCCAGTCTTTAGGATGCTATGCTCCACTGGAAATAGAGTTTACAATTATTTTCAGTGCAAATATAAATGTATCACAACTGTATCAATATACTAATACTACAGCGCGTTTATCAACAAATATAAGTCAGAAAAAGTACATTTGAAATCATATTGGTAAAGCAGACTTGCTAATGAAACCCGGGATATTTTAAGGAATTTTTTTTTTTTTATATATATATTCATTCTTGATAGAAGATTATATAGGTGTATGTTGTGATGTAAACAGGTGTGTGCTATGCTTCTGTGTATACTTATTCAGAAAGATATATTTTTTGGGGGGAGGAGGGGGCTATCACATCACAGTTTGTGACATCAACTGCAACAATATACAGCTTCTTGGAAAGGAATATAGCGAGCTTAAATGAAAGCACTTAAATCTTCTAAGATGGCTATAAACATTACTAGATTTGTTTTAAGCACAACATAGTATTTTTTTTAGTAACTCTCACACTGACCTTTACTTAAAAATAAATACATTTTAAAAATTTAAATTAATAAATAAAAAAACAAAAATTTGGGTAGGCGTGAGAATTCCTTTAGAAAAAAATACAAAAACAGCCATTCAGAACGCATACTGAACCTATAATTAAAACAATGTGCAAAAATAAGGCTACATTGAAACATTCTAGTTAATGGTACATATGAAATATAGTTACCCTTAGCTACTCTGTCTATAGTGGTAAAATGAATCACAAGTTCAACAAGAAAATGCTAGGAATTCATAAAGTTATATCAAAGTTAATTTATCATTGAAAAAAGAAAACAAAGAACATCCATTTATTGCATGTGGTTTATGGTATGGATCCAGCAAGAAACCCAAAGCAAAGATTGTGGTCCATGCCACAATTCCAAAAGAGGTTTTGATGCACATTCAGGCTGCAGACCTATCATTCTACCCGAAACGAAGATGAGATGATGATGCATGCTTAACGGTGTCAGGAATATTTTCAAAGCACGTATTAGACCTGTTCAAGATCAGTCAAGCATTATTTCACTGAAACTGTCTATAATGCTCATATAGCTATAATTATGGCCAGTGAAAGATGTGGTTTGGAGTGTCGACGGTTGCCTACCCCTGCTTTATAATCTAACATGTTACAGTATTTTGGTTTTGGTTTTTGGTATGCAGTGGCTTTCAAATAATACTCAACTAATCTTAACAGGTCTAATATGTGCCACCGAAAACATTCCAATGTAACAGACATATGTAACAGACATAAGATAGTACCTATAAACCAAACCAAAAACTAGAAGCAATTTTAACTCCTTCACTGCTGAGGGAATGATCACCTATACTCCCTCATATCTGTATTCCCTAAGACACCAAAAGGCTGTCGCTGCACTCAGTCCCTCGCTAGTGGTTACTTCAAAAGGACTGACAGGGGCTGTCGTGGAGGACAAAGAGTTCTATAACCTCCTGACTCTATCACAGCCACTCCACCACCCTGTCTACCCGCAAGCCCAATTGAAGTGATTCCACCTAGAAGCCACAAAAACCGCACTATAAAATCAAGAAAACCTCTTTGTGTGGTCCCCATTAAAAGACACACTGTTTCCAAAGTACAGAGCAAAAACTCAGAATCCCAATACTGTCCTATCAGATCAATCCTGTGCAATGCCAGATCAATAAGGAACAAAACAGCTATTATTGCCGACCTTATTGAAACATGCAAGTTAGCGTGCATTACAGAATCATGGCTAGATGAAAATGCGGTGTCTATTCTAGAAGCAGCTATGCCAGGCAATTACACGGTGTTCCACCACCCTAGACAAGATCGCAAGGGAGGTGGAGTTATGATCTGTGCAAAGTCATCCTTAAATCCCAGACCAATATAAGTCCACAAACCCTAATCTTTTGAATGCATAGCTGTCAGCCTCTCAATAGTTAGAGGATTCTGGATACTATTAATATACAGCCTCCCAGGAGATAGGAAGAGATTTTTTCAGGAACCAACAGACCTTTGGCTGGCTTAATCCTTGAACACCCCAGATAGCTTATGATGGGAGACTTCAACACCTGGATTGATGACACCCTATCCCTGCTTGGGCAGTATCTCCTCGGCATGATGAGTGCACTCTGCTTCAAACAAATAGTCGCCACTTCCACCCACAGAAAAGGTCATACACTTGATCTGGTGTTCCAGTCTGGACTAGAAGTGTCACCAGTAACTGTAAATCCAGTTCTATGGTCAGAAATTAAATGGGGAACATATTTTAAAATTGGCCTGCTGACCTTCAAAGCCTTAAACAATCAAGGCCCACAGTATCTGAAAGAGCTCCTGACACCCTACAGTCCATCCCGTTCACTTCGGTCAGCCAGCAAATCCCTCCTGTCAGTGCCAAGAATAAAGAGAGACTCAGGTTCCAGGGCATTCAGTTATGCTACCTATTGGAACTATTTAACGTGCGCAATCAGAGAGGCACCATCCTTACAGTCTTTTTAAATAAAGCAAAAGACCCACCTATTCCTTCAGGCATTCAGTCCACTCATCTCACCTTCAGAAACTTCTAACTTTTATGTCTTTATGTTTGTTTATTTGTAAAGTTCTTTGAGTCTCACAGGGAGAAAAGCGCTATACAAATCGTGAATTTATATATATATAAACTAATGTTGGAACCCCTACATTCTGACCAATCTGCAAATATGAACATTAATAAAAAATATTTGGGTGGCATTTTTGCAATATTCTAATGATCTAATTTTGATGATCGCATGCAGTATGTATATTTTCCCATTTTTAGCTACAAACTATTATAACTCAGCATATTCTTCTTCTGATATAACCCATTCACGTCAATGTTTAACACATTGTGTATTTACCCTGTAGTAAAATCGTAAACACTATTTTGTTTAGTATTTGGATAAACCAAATAATTCTCCTCTGAACTGCCTCCTTCACAGGGTGTTTTTGCAATTTATTGGATGTTTTATTGTACCACTGTCTGTAAAAGTTAAGAAACGGCATTGCAGAAAATTCTCAGATGCAAACCGATTCTGATATGCAAGACCCAAATATATATATATATATATTAATACATTTGATCACAATAAGGCCATGACGATAGTTTTTACATTTATTTAATGTATGATCAAATTATTACTAAAGCTGTTGATTCATATACACAGTTGCAGCCATACTATTTATAGTTTGAGTAAACAAAAAGGTGTAACAAATAAAACGGCCGCAGTGTACCACACACACAGGCACACACCTCATAAGCAAATTTACTTGCCTCAGGGCACTATAGTGCCAGGAAAACGAGTATGTTTTCCTGGCACTATAGTGGTCCTTTAACTCCCATGGCTATAGAATTTGTTTCTGTTGACATCCAACAACAAATATATATATATATTTTTTTAAAGTATGTTGTTTTTCATAAATCAGTTTGAAAAATTGGGGGGGGGGGTATGTACAAGATTAATATTTAAATCCTGGGGAATTTTGGCTGATATTTAGTACATTGTTTGCTAAAGAATTTTAGCCTGAAAGAGAATATGTTCCCCAGAGGAGGCTGGAAATTTGGTTTGAATTTATATAAAAAGATGGAGAGATAGAAACATTTTGATACTATACCACCACTCAAATGCACTCTAGTTGGGAATTTAGGGAACAAAGTGAAAGGGAACCCAAGGACAGAGACAACAGTGTGAAGAAGGAAAAAAAGCAACAAGTTTAAATGGAGTCTAGATAGCTGTGTGGGGTCATGCATGGTGAAATCTCAAATTGAAGAAAAGGAGGGGGAAGGGCAGAAGGAATTTAGATAAATTTTAGTAAATGCTAAGTTACCCATTGCTCTTGGCCAGCAAGCTTTTGTTTCTAAATATTTATCACACTATTAATACAAATAAACAAATACATGTTCAATAACAGAGACCAGCAGAGAGACCAATAATTTATTTTTTTATTTTTTTTCCCAATTACTACAATATGGGGTAATTTCAGACTTTAAATATAAATACTTAAAAATATATATTGAAAAAAAAAAAGAAAGAAAAACTAACATCTCTTATTTTCTTTCATTAAATTTACTGTTGTAATATAATTTTAGACATATGCCTCACACTTTTGCAGTTTTACTTTTGTTTTCTTTATCCACACCCTTCCCTTTTTGCTTTCTGTACCTCTCTCCCTTCAGTTTGCAAAAACAAGAAGGAGAAAAAAAACAAAACAAGAAAATACACCCACAATAAAAACTGTTAATTTAGATGTGCATACACATTTTGCAATATTTTCATACAACCATAACTAGAGTCATTAGTAGACCTTGAATTTATGTACAAGTTTTTTATTTGGTTATATAAATAATACTGATAAATATTTCTGCTGTTTAAAAAAATGTCAATAGTGATAATTCTATTTCAATGTTGATCTATGAACAATACATTTTGGCATATACGTATGTGATATATTTTCTTTGTTCATAATCTTTCCTGACCAAATTTAGCAAATCAGAGTGATTAACTAAAGTTCAATTTAGAGTCAATTTTAAATTTAAGGTCAAAATAGCTGAATAGGAAAACTTCTTTAACTCCGTTATGTATTTAGTTTAGCCAAGCCTTAAATTTAACATTCACTTTGAATTCCCACTTTAGTAAATCATTATTATATTTGGTGTTTATCTTGATTATATTTATATTTGGTTTGAAATAACGGGTGATGGGGTGTTGTAGGAAAAATTTAACAAATAAATAAATTTAAAAAAGCAGATAAGAGACATGCTTGTTGTAATAAATAAATAAGTAAAATTTTAATAATAAGTGGTAAATAATTCTCAGAATAGCACAGCTTAATTAACAACATGTAAGAAACAGTGTAGGTTCTATAAAGTCTAATTACCATGATGTATTTGTGGAGCTGCATGAACTACAGTTGTAAATATGATAATAGGAACTGAAAAATTAATTAGTCATAGCAAATACGGTCCTGAACCAATCTGTCTAATAGTTTCCTGAACTTGACAGATTGAAAGCCTTCCTTTATTTGGTTACACATTAACATGGTTAATCTTTCTATCTAAATATACTGTAGAAAACTATGACATGTCAGTAATACAGTTAAATGGACACTATAAGCACCAAAACAACTCTAATTTATTTGAGTGGTTTTGGTGCATAGATCATGGCCCTGCAGTCTCACTGCTCAATTCTCTGCCATTTAGAAGTTAAATTACTTTGTTTATGAAGCCCTAATCACACCTCCCTGCATGTGATGTGCTCAGCCTTCCTAAACACAAACAATGGCCTATCCCATTTCGGCCGAAAACGGGCCTATCCCATTTCAGTCGAAAACGGGCCTATCCCATTTCGGCCCAAAACTGGCTTATCTCATTTCGGCCGAAAACGGATCTAATCTGCCAAAACTTACAACCTTCAACCTCTAAATTCCTCTCCCATAGTCCTCTCTGCCAATACCCCATCGCAAACCTCTCTAGGTCCATGTTCCCTTGTCTGTGCCATCTTCCTAGTCCCCTTGTCTCCTGGGTCCTGCTCTCTGGCCCTGAGCCTCGCTCAAACCTGCTCTTGGATTCCCTGAGAACCAGTGGCCGTAATTCTGCTAAAGTACCTGCCTTTCTTTTTCAATACCTGGCTGTCCATGTCTCTTGTCTCTAAGAGTCTTTCATTGGCTTGTTACCGATCCTACAATTGGCTTCCTGCTCCACTGCTCTCCCCTGCATGGAGAGACGGAGAAAGTCACAAATCCAGTCAGGTCCCTCAGTCTTGACCTATGCAAGAACCCCCTTGCTGCTTGCAATGGACCGTTGTGCCAGTTGATCCTATAGCCGTAATGTACCACTCCGAATCTGTCCAATCGGAGAGAGCTGGGGGGAGGTGATTCATCACAGGAAGAAACTACATACTTTTCTCTCCCTGCCCTGCAGTGCAGGCTAGTTTGATTGACAATATACTAATTGGTGGCCAACTTCCTGTTTCCATGGCAATGGAAGGTTCATTCCCCGCATTCCCTTACTTAATTCACGGCCCTATACACTCTTAAAAGGACAGACCTACATTTCGGGTCTATTGTTTTGCTTCATCTGCAATTTTACAAGGGGCTCATTCATTGAACACAGAATTGTAGTGTATTTAAAACCAAATTGTAATATTTAACTTTAACAGGATAGAATTCCAACTCAAAATAGAAATACAATAAAACAAGTGAAAAAATTGGCGCTTCCAATTAAGAATATCAGTTATAAAAACAGATTAAAAATTCTTTGAAATGGAGCAGTACCTATACAGTGTATTAGCCCAAAAAACACTCCAATAGTTACTAAAAGAGAAATAGGTGCGCTAAAATTTAAAGCGCAAAATCATTTAACAACATAAAGTGCAAATATACAGTGCAATGTCATATAACAACATAAAGTGCAATAGACTTCCTCACTAACATGTGATACAATTTGCATAAATAATCAACTGTTGTGTGTACAAATATCCACTAGTGCAAACTGCAAAAACCACTTAAAGTGATATTGTGCATAAAGAATATTCAGATACGCCAAAGCTCCAAATATAGGAACATAAAAGGAACAAAAGGCATATATAGAAGTGGAAGTCTATATACTTGGGCTATTACAGTTAGAGCAGACGTATTTGCTCTTTGCTTGTGAGTTTATTTACTATCTCACCCAATATTTTAAACATTTGTATTTGACAATATCACACTATATATGCTTTTTGTTCCTTTTATGTTCCTATATTTGGCATCCTGAATTTTCCCTACTGCCCAATGTACATGTTGAAACAAAAGGTCATTAAAATATCCACATGAAAATAGCTTTTATCACTTTCTTTACAGATTAGGTATACTACTGGGGTGTAAGACAACATTGAAACACTATGGATGAAAACCTACAGGAAAATAAACCTGGAATATATATCTGTTTATCAATGCATTTACTATCCAATGATTTCAGGTCAATAACTTTTTTCCCCCCACCATAACTCTGTTCGTTTGTGCTCCACAAGTAAAGCCAAGCCTCAGTAGCAAGCAAGTAACAAACCTTGCATTAACAACAACAAAAAAACAGATGTCTGTGTGTAGTTATGCTGCAATTTTAAAGGTACAATTTAGCCTGGGACTCATGCTCCAAAGACACGTGACATTTAGGGCATGTTCATGATCAACATGCCCCCTACAGAAATGGTGAGTTATGTTTTATGTAACCTAGCTTCTACAAATATTGTACTATGCTATTTTAAGAATGTAGGTTGATGAAAAATATTAATCTGAAGGTGGATCATTAAAACGATATTTCATATTGAAAAGACAGGGAGGGGGAGGGATGGCCCTGTATGTAAAGGATGGCATAAAATCTAGCCTAATAAAAGTTAGTGAGGCGAAGATAGAGTCCGTTTGGGTTATGTTAGAATTTGGCAATCACACAGTAACTCCTGTAAGTGTGATTTATAGGCCCCCAGGCCAAATTGAAGAGTTAGATAATCTACTAGTTGAGGAAATAGCTAAAATGACAATGAAAGGTGAAGTTATCATCATGGGTGACTTTAATCTTCCTGATGTGAACTGGAAAACCAAAATAGCTGCTTGTGCCAGGAGCACACATATTCTAAACTCCCTACTGGGATTGTCTCTAAAACAAGTCGTTGAGGAGCCAAGTTGTAAAGAGGCCATACTAGATTTGAGGAGCCAAGTTGTAAAGAGGCCATACTAGATTTAGTGTTAACAAATGGAGATTTGGTATCCGATATTACCGTAGATTAAAGTTTAGGATCCAGTGATCATCAGTCAGTGTGGTTTATTAAAAGAACAGTGACTGAGACACACTACACAAAAACAAAAGTTTTAGACTTTAGAAAAACTGACATTTCTAAAATTAGAATATGTGTAAAGGAGTCATTATCAGACTGGAGCAATTTAAATGGAGTCCAATAGAAATGGGATTATTTAAAAGTTTCACTGTTGAAGGCAACAGAAAATTGAGTTAGGCTTGTCAGTAAAAGCAAAAAATTCAAGAAACCACTGTGTTACTCTGCAGATGTGGCCAAAATAGTAAAAAAAAAAGTTAGCATTTAGTAATTATATAAAAAACCAGAGTGAGGAAGACAGAATGATCTATAAGATTAGACAGAAAGAGACTAAGTAAATTATAAAAGCTTACATATCACACACAGAAGAGAAAATAGTAGTCAGTAAAAAACAGGGACAAAACATTTTTAGATACATAAATGAGAAAAGAAAAGTAAAACAAGGATTAGTTAGATTAAAAACCAAAAGAAGGAAGGTATGTAGAAGAGGATAAAGGTGTATCTGACTGCCTCAATTAATATATTTGTTCAGTATTTACAGATGAAAATGAAGGAATGGGGCCTCAGTTAGGAAAAATTAGCCATTTGTTACATGTGAGTTTACAGAGGAAGAGGTTCTACATCAACTGTGAAAAGTAAAGACAAACAAGCCAATGGGACCTGATGGAATACACCCAAGTTATTAAAAGAGCTTAGTGGTGTACTAGCAAAACCATTAACAGATTTATTTAACCAATCATTGTTAACAGGAGTAGTCCCAGAAGATTGGAAGTTAGCAAATGTTGTACCCATTCACAAGAAAGGTAGTAGGGAGGAGACGGGCAACTATAGGCCAGTAAGCCTTACTTCAGTAGTGGGAAAAGTAATGGAAACCATGTTAAAGGATAGGATTGTTGAACATCTAAAATCTCATGGATTTCAAGATCAGAGACAACATGGGTTTACTTCAGGGAGATTATGCCAAACTAATCTAATTGTTTTTTCTCATTGGGTAACTAAAATAATAGATCAAAGTGGTGCAGTAGACAATGTTGCTCATAGAAGGCTGATCAATAAACTTAAATCTTTAAGTTTGGATTCCGATATTGTTGAATGGGTATGGCAGTGGCTGACTGACAGGCAACAGAGGGTTGTAGTCAATGGAGTATATTCGAAGCATGGGCTTGTCACCAGTGGGGTACCTCAGGGAGCTGTACTTAAAAAATGTATTAGTGATATTGCAGAAGGTCTTGATGGTAAGGTATGTCTTTTTGCTGATGATACTAAGATATGTAACAGGGTTGATGTTCCAGGAGGGATAAGCCAAATTGCAAATAATTTAGATAAACTAGAAAAATGGTCAGAGTTGTGGCAACTCACATTTAATGCGGCTAAGTGCAAGATAATGCATCTTGGACATAAAAATCCAAGGGCAGAGTACAGAATCTTTGATGGAGTCGTAACCTCAACATCTGAGGAAAGGGATTTAGGGGTGATTTTTTTCTGATGACTTAAAGGTAGGCAGAAAATGTAATGGAGCAGCAGGAAAGTCTAGCAGAATGTTTGGTTGGATAGGGAGAGGTATTAGCAGTAGAAAGAGGGAAGTGCTCATGCCATTGTACAGAACACTGGTAAGACCTCACTTGGAGTATTGTATGCAGTTCTGGAGACCGTATCTCCAGAAGGGCTACTAAGCTGGTTCATGTATTGCAGGATAAAACTTACAAGGAAAGGTTATAGGAACTTAACATGTATAGCTTGGAGGAAAGACGAGCCCAATATTTTTGCCCCTTTCTTCTTGTCTACCTTTATTCAGCGAGGGGGGCATAAATCCCTGATAATCCTGGGGGAACTTGTGGTCTGCACCTTTTACGGGTGCAGACACCATCTGCCTCTCACATCGATCTGGCGCTTTACCAGTGAGTCAAAGCGTTGCTATAGTAACCAACGGCAATATCTTAAATCACTGAGAAAAACTGGATTGCAAAGATGAGTCCCCTGTGGTGTCTGTACATGCTGGAGATGCAGCCCACAGGCTCCCTAACCCTGGGGTGCTCTGAGTTGGCTGCAGAGATACAAGACCTCCCCATCTACTCCATTTGGGTCAGGCAGCCTCATGTGCCATAGGTTGCCAACCCTTGTTTTAAATTCTGATTGGCTGCTTTAAGGACACAACAGTTACAATTAATAAATCTAAAGATCATATGATACCCATGTATATGATATTGACTGTGCACCCAAACAATGATGTTACCAAAGCAAATTCCACACCATCATTAATGCTTTGTACAACATGAGATCTATGGACCTGGAACATGTCTGCTACAACAGTATTTGTATAAAATGAATAAGTGCTATTTAATTACAAGTTCAAACTTGATAGCTGCTTCTGTATGCACTGATCACAATTTTTATCCTGCTAGTCACCAATGTACACTGAGATGTTCTTGCATAACATGACATAATATGAATACACACCTAGGATTATATTTGATTTACTTTACAAGAGTTATTTACTCTGAAACTAAAACACAATATAATAACTTGTTTAAGTTCTTACATAAGGATCACAACAATCACATTTTTTTTTACTTTGATGTTACACCATAAATATGCAAGCGTATTTTTCCATTTCACTTGCCACTCTAGTATTTAAACTGCCTTAATCTCCTGCCCTCGGATGTTGACTTTATAAAAAAAATGGAGGTCAGAGGTTATAAAGAGACAGACCTCAAAAGATCTAGACAATAAACTCATGCCTGAAAAAATTCTTTATCAGTCACAGAAAAACAATTACCAGGCATTCTCAAAATAAACCTCAAAAGAATTATATAACATTTTCGCCTACTACACAACAGTTACTGCCAAAAAATGCACAATTTTTTATTCCACTAATTATAATTAAAATGAGTGCCTTGTTAAAGTGAACAAACCCCACCCCCACATAATATAAAAGATGTTGCCTATCAAGTTCTGGTAGCTGTATCTGTTGAATGTTTTTAAGCCTCTTTACCAAGAGTAGGCCTTTCAATATTGCTCTATCATGCATTGCATAATTCACGCATTCCTGCACAGTTAACCTTCATTCAATACTATGCTCTATCTAGATTTATATATATAGATTTATTTATACACACACATACATACATACACACACATATATACATACACACACACACACACAATTCATACAAGATCCAGCGTTCTCGATCATTCACTAAACATCAATTTCAAATTGTTTTTTTTTTTCATTTTAAACACCTAACAAAAATAATGGCGTCTTAGTTACTGTATATAATCATACATTTCATAAACCTGCCACAACGCCAATGTACCCCATATCCTAGCAATCTAATGCATCTAGTTACATCTCTCAGAGATGCTTTACCACCATTATGCCTGTAATAGCATGTAGTCCACATCATCTGGAGTGCCGAAGGTTGCCTACCCCTGCTCATATTTCATGATGAATAACTTTGGACTTTAACGTATCTTAAATAGTAAACGATCTTTAGACAGATCTTTCCTAAAAATAAAATAAACTGTTTTATTAAAAGAGATTCAATTAAAAAAAAATTAAATAAACTATATCATTGATTTTTATTCACATTACTTATCAATCAGGGCTACCCATACAGCTAAAATATTTGCACAAACACTGATGTGCTCCTTATTTCCTACACCAGCTGCACTTTTCAACAGCACTGTCAGTCTGTGTTATGAGATTTCACATGTAACATTAAACATACATGTGTAAAATGGTGGACTTCAAATAGGCTTCTAAGAACATGTAAAAATCGTTACGGAGACAACAAATCTGTAGAAGGCCAAAATGTGATGAATGAATTCTGCCTCAGAGAAAATATTTACTGCATAGAGAACATATTTTTACGATAAACAAACACTTAGAATTACATCACTCACAGCAAGAATGCCAACAGAATGCAAATTTTCAAATTTCACGGATACATTTCATTAGGCCTAACAAGAATTTGACATTTCTGTGGGGTAAAAAAAAAAAGTTGCTAAGATGCCTGGAATGGCCTCCCAGCAATGTTAGGAAATCGAGATTAGACTATCCTATCTTGGGTTAAAACAAATGAAATGTTGTGCTTTTTAGATAGCCAATACTTTATGCAATATTGTCTACTCTGCTCTAGAATAACAGGTGGTTTCAAAAGTTTCTGTTAAGGCAAGCAGTAGTGTACTAAATATTAGGACTCCTATTTCAAACATTAAAAAAAAAAAAATGCCACACAATGTGTTAGAATTAATTTATATATTTTTTTAAATGTTATTATAGCATGATCAGCAATATAGACAATGTATGCAAATTGTATTGTAAAGTTTTCACATGCAACAATAAAACACAAATTAGTACAGTAGGTTAGAAATGCAAAAGTGTGTATATCACTATTGATGAGATCCATGTACCAGAGACTAAATTGGACTTACCTATAGGTATGTAGTTCTTCTGTTTTAACAAGGTAGCACCCAATTTATCCCTGGAGTAGAGTATGGATGGATAACCAGAAAACAAGTTCTCACAAGCATACATATATGGGCAGAGAAATATGCACATAGTACTATACTGTATTTTATAGTTTTTGACATTTCTTGTTAGATGCCTCTTAAATATGTGAGTGCACGCCCTAACGCATACTACAACTCATCAGCTCTAGAAGTAGTACCAGCCCTGTGCACCATCTTTTTACTTTAAAATGGTGGAGATTGACTTGATCAGCACAGTGTGTACTGCTTATTTTTGTGAGCGGCCCAAGTTAAAGAGCTACCACATTACAGTGCTCCTTAGCTTACTGTTTATATAATTATTTAATACTGGTATTTATAAAGTGCCAACATATTCTGCAACGCTGCACAATTGGAAAAGACAATACAATACAAGACCGATACAGCGGGTAAAGGGTGCTGCCCATGAGCTTACAATCAAAAGGTTAAACTGGGGAGTGGAGACAAAACGTAGCAGAGGAATTTGTATGTGATGGTAGATAGAGTGAATGGCAGGGCCACCATCAGAAATTTTGGGGCGCCTAACACAGCTCAAGGTCTGGGTCTCCGGGTGCCCGTCTCCAAGCCTGCCCCCTGGGCCCGCCTCCAATCCCACCCACAGGAATACACACACAGAGACAAACACAGACACCCACACACTAACAGACACATACTGAAACAGACACGCACACATATACAAACACACAGATACATACAGACACACATATATACATACAGACACACATACATACATACATATACTGACACACATACATACTGGCATACAGACACCGACATACAGACACCTACATACATAAATAGCTAATTTTTCAGTCACCCTCCTGTTCCTTAGCTTTTCGCTGCAGGAGGGTGGCTGGGGATGATGGGAGTGGGCAGCCTCTCCTCACTGCCTCCAGTCTGCTTCCTCCTGCTGTCATTACCTCCCTGCAGTCATTACCTCCCAGCACAACTTGCAGCTGCCATTTTTTAAAGGGGCCCGGTCGCGCTATTACACGAACGCAGCGTGTGGGCCCTGCTGCTACACATGGGGGCCCGTGCCCCCAGGCCCGTGACAACCGTCATGTTTGCCACCCCCTGATGGCCGCCCTGCTTAATGGTATAACTGCAGCAGCTGATAGCATTATAATTTGATTGTGTGTGAAAGATTGAGAGCAACTGTAATGTCAAACAAGTCCATATTTTGCAGTGCCCACTTTATCATCACTAATATTCTTAACTGAATTTTTGTGTATTTTTGAGAGGTTAATATATGGATGTTGTGAGCTGCTGCATTGTGCGTTTTGTATTTCAATAACCAATGCTTTGTTGGTTAAAAATAAAAAGAATACACACACACCATATTAGATTTGCACCACATGGCAGGTGGTGTGGCAGTAAGAGCATACAACTACCACATGGTATCATGCACCAAGCATAAGAGGGACACAGTATGGAAAGTAAGTCAGAGCATACATGCGCATTCACACTGGGAAATAACAGCAGCACCTGCCCCCATGAGTACTATATAGGTAAGGAAATAAGAAGCTGTGAACATTCCTCTTTAAATTAAGGAAAGTGTAAAGGGATACTAAACACCTTAATTTCTTCTACTTATTAAGAAATTGTTTTAGGTTTAACATAAATCAGGTGTTTATATATAATAGTTTAATGTGGAATTTTATTTAATTTTATCTATACAAAATATTCCAATAATGGCAAAGCGGTGGAACATAATAGGTGGCAGTTATATGGGGCTCACTGCTTATCCCTGCATGATGTGAGCACCTGCCATTCAAAATAAGTTACTGAGAAAAAAGAGAAGAAAAAAAAGAAGAGGAAAAAAACAAACATACACCTAGTTTAAGTTTTTTTTCTAAAAGCTTATTTACTCAGATTAGTAAATATTCCTCCTGGAAACTAACAGGTTACCATCAAAATCAACAGGGCAAAAGCAAATAGCACCTTCTGGTTTCATGTTCCCATAATAGGCTACCCATCTTGGCATACGTCCAATTAACTTGCATGCTGTTGTCAGAGCAACTACAGTCAAACAGATGTGAGACTCTTGCTAAAGGCAAGAACTAGGTGAGGACTCAGAATTGGGGGTGGATTGGATAACCCCCCACACACATACACACCAAGAATTTTTTTCTCTTTATGTATACCTATAGTGTCTTGCTTGATGTTAAAAGTTAAGAGACTAAATATTTCCTTACTTATACAATAACAACTTTACATCTTAAAGATGTATTAAAATCATATTTTTATTATCCTTTCTGAATGACCAAAAGCAAATAAGACTGTTCTTTTACTTATTCATTGTTAAAAAAAAAGAAAAAAATAATAAAAAAAGAACAACAGCAAAATACATCTTTTTCATTTTTAACCTGAAACAATTGTAGAAATTCTAATCAAAACAAAACCTTAAATTTGCACTATATGTATACATACATATACATACATACACATATATATATACATACATACATACATATATATATACATACATTATATATATATATATATATATATATATATATATATATATATATACCATTTGCAAAAGTAGACAACCTAAGGTATTGCAAGTGGGGTATGTCCAGTCTTTTTTAGTAGCCACTTAGTCACTTAGCCACTTAGTCACAAACACTGGCCAAAGTTAGAGTTTATATTTGTTTTTGTGTGAAAAAAGCAACAACAAAAAAATATCTGTTTGTGAATAAGTGGCTACTAAAAAAGTCTGGACATACCCCAATTGCAATACCTTGGGTTGTCTACTTTTGCAAATGGTATGCCATCATGGGGGTAATTCTCATTCCTGGGTGTTAAGACACCTCCCGTGTCTTTAAGCCAAACCGCCGTTTAGTAAACCTTCCCCGGCTGCAGTACAGTCTCTGTTCGCTTACTCTGTAACCCACGAACCAAATGCAGGGGAAGCGGCAATCTCCCGATCGAAATCCACGAACGGCTCCAAACTCCCGAACGGCAATATACGAACTGCTAGGAACCGTCGAACAATAATATCCCCAAAGCGGCTTTCGTTCCATCCAGCAGTCTCTAACCGTGAAGAAGAAATCCCCCCAATAACGAGACAGAAGCTCCGCATTGAGGGTCAAATAAGATCTGGTTTTACTGTGGGCTACCTGCCCGTATTTATGCAGGTCTCCCACCTGGTGGACACTCCCCTAGGGGACCAAATGGAAGACTTAAAGTACAGACAGATAGAAGGACATTTCTGACACACAGTCACATATCTTACCCACAGTGCATTCTGATTCCCTCCCCTCTGTCCTGGAGTTAATTACCAAGTAACTCAATTAACTCCAGGACAAGGACAGTCGCCATTTTAAACAGAAAATAATAAAAGACATAAAAATGCATAACTACATGAAAACTGAACATTTCCCATTCGTATTACATGTCCCCAGATAGCCTGGATCTGAGTGCATATTATTGGCGAATAGCGCTCAGATCCCACACACATAGTTCAATCGCCATGGAGTCAAAGTTCTTACAGTCTTTCGGTATACGAATGACTCCATGGGAGGGCTATCTGGGTTAAGTCTTTCGTATGCTCTCAATCTCCCGAACAGCCGGTGTTCGCATGCTTTCGTGGAGGCAGCCAGGCGTTCCCTTGTTTCAGCGGTGTTCGACAGAAAAAGTGTCCGTTTTCCGTTCCATAGAAATAGAGCCAAACACCGCTGAGCGTTCGCATGATTTAAAATGGCCGCTGCCTCGTGGTCGACATACGAACGACGACCACCCTGAGTTCGGTTTAATTGAGAAGTGTCTGCGGTTAACCACAACGTTCTAATGGTGATCACTTCATTAACCTGCAGCACACTCCTCACTTGGGTGGCCGTTCGTTCGGCAGATTTGTTCGGGAAAAAAGAGTCATTCGAATGGCTGGGCTATAGAAACCAGCCATTCATACGAACGGGGACAAACAGACGAACGGGCAAAATCCAGCAGACAGATGGTTCTGTCACACTGGGCTACTGTCCATACGGTCTCAAAGGCAACATTACCAAACTGGCAAATTTCAATGTGGAAAAAAATGAAATGCAAGCCTTATATTTGACTCTCTAACGTTCCAAAACACCATAAGACCTGTACATGGGGGGTACTGTTATACTTGGGAGACTTCACTGAACACAAACATTAGTGTTTCAAAACAGTAAGATGTATTACGAGGGGGCGGGGCCTGACTGCGGGACTGAGATGAAGCAAGCCTCAACAGCTCCTGCTAATCAGAACTGAAAAAGAAGAATAAAGCTACAGAAACGGCCCTAAAAAGCCAAACAAAGGCCACCAAGTGAAAGGGAAACCAGGACACACAGGAAGATACCCGACAAGCGACACTTGACCTGGTACGCACCCGACACACTGATGAGGCCTACCAGCATGGCAGGCGCGGGAGGGACGGACGCTTTCTCATCACCAAGAACGACTGGCACTTGACCCAGAGCCCTCGTCCTCCACCCTATGGAACGGTGCGGGTTATCCCGGTCCACGCCCACATGAACCCCCTGCAAGACAGTGAGAGCACGACTGTGATATGGAATCCCCAGCCGACCACCAACGAGTTTTACAAAAATGGCGGATGCCTCCCACACCACAGATTTATGTAGTGCAAGGCTGGAAACGGAGCTCCCGTTGAACAGAATTTTTGCCTCCTCCTGGAAGAAATTGGAGGCTCGCATGCGACCTCCGGATTTAGAGTCTCTGTCCTATGACCTGCCACAGAGTCCAAAAAGGGTAGACAAGCAGAGGGAAGCAATAACCACCCCCCCCCCCTAATTATACACACGTGAGCAACCAGCCCCAGCAAGGAGCCGTCTGGGGGCTACACGCCACACAGAGAGTAGAGGCGGAGCTTCACAGAGAGAAGAAGCGGACCAGGGTCGGTGCCCAGAGCCTTGGAGGCGCCCAAGAGACATCACCCAAGGCCACCTCACCTGCAAGCTGAGACAGGGCACAAGACCCGGTGGGGCATAACTAGCCCGGAACAACTGGTGAAACGGCAGGGCAAGAGACCCGATAAGGAGACAGCATCAGAGGAGCCATCCTGGAGCCGTGGCAACCCGCGACAGGGACATGTGGCACACGAGCACCGGGAACTACAAGGTGGACTCTATATAACCCTTCAAGCTCACAACCTCACGGCACAGGGACCATATACATCATTACTTTTGGATTACCAAGCTGAAAGCACCAATCAGCAAAGCGGGGATATACTCGGCACGTGCAAGGATGTTCCGAGAATCCGGACTGGGACTACACCCTGTTCCAAATTATTACGCAAATTCTATTTAAGTGTCACAAAGATGAAATATTTTGTTTTTCAGTTTAACTCATGGATGGCATTGTGTCTCAGGGCTCTTTTGATAACTGAAAACAATCTCAGACACTTGTGATAATTAGATTGCCAGGTGAGCCCAATTTAAGGAAAAACTAGTAAAGGAGGGCGTTCCACATTATTAAGGAGAGCACCATTTTCATGCAATATGGGGAAGAAAAAGGATCTATCTGCTGCCGAAAAGAGTGAAATAGTTCAATGCCTTGGACGAGGTATGAAAACATTAGATATTTCAAGAAAACTTAAAGGACCACTATAGTGCCCTGAGGGTGCCCCCATCCTCGGGGACCCCCTCCCTCCGGGCTCGATGGCGAGGAAAGGGTTAAATCTTACCTTTTTTCCAGCGCCGGGCGGGGAGCTCTCCTCCTCCTCTTCGGCTGAATGCGCATGCGCGGCAAGAGCTGCGCGCGCATTCAGCCAGTCTCATTTACAATGCTTTCCTATGGACGCTGGCATCTTCTCACTGTGATTTTCACAGTGAGAAGCACGCAAACGCCTCTAGCGGCTGTCAATGAGACAGCCACTAGAGGCTTTAGAGGCTGGATTAACCCATTTATAAACATAGCAGTTTCTCTGAAACTATGTTTATAAAAAAAATGGTTAATCCTAGAGGGCACATTAAGCTGAAGTGGTCTGGGTGCCTAGAGTGGTCCTTTAAGTGTGATCATCGCACTATTAAGAGATTTGTGGATGATTCAGCGCACAGATGGGTTAGTGAGATAAAGGCACATTGAGGAAGATTTCTGCCAGATCCATGCAAGAGAGCAGCTGCTAAAATACCATTACATAGCAGCAAACAGATATTTAAAGCTACTGGTGCCTCTGGAGTCCCACGGACATCAAGGTGTAGAGTCCTCCAGAGTCTTGGAACTGTGCATAAGCCTTCTATTCGGCCACCACTAACATGCCCACAAGCAGAAACGGCTGCATTGGGCAGAAAAATACATGAAGACTAATTTTCAAACAGTCCTGTTCACTGATGAGTGCTGTGAAACCCTGGATGGTCCAGATGGATGGAGTAGTGGATGGTTGGTGAATGGCCACCCTGTTCCAACAAGGCTGCAACGTCAGCAAGGCGGTGGTGGAGTCATGTTTTGGGCCGGAATCATGGGAAGAGAGTTGGTCGGCCCCTTTATGGTCCCTGAAGGTGTAAAGATGACCTCTACAAAGTATGTGGAGTTTCTGACTGACCACTTTCTTCCCTGGTACAGAAGGAAGAACTATGCTTTCCGTAATAAAATCATCTTCATACATGACAATGCACCATCTCATGCTGCAAAGAATACCTTTGCATCAATGGCTGCTATGGTGATAAAAGGAGAGAAAGTCATGGTGCAGCCTCCATCCTCCCCTGACCTTAATCCTATTGAGAACCTTTGGAGCATCCTCAAGCAAAAGATCTATGAGGGTGGGAGGCAGTTTACATCCAAACAGCAGATCTGGGGGGCTATTCTGACATCTTGCAAACAAATTCAAGCAGAAACTGTCCAAAAACTTACAAGTTCAATGGATGTAAAACTTGTGAAGCTGCTATCAAATAAGGGGTCCTATGTTAAAATGTTTAAAAAGTTAAAATGTTGTTATAAGTTTGATTGAAATAGCTTTTGATTTCAGTACATATGCTGCAAACACAACAAATGACAATTTTCAGTTCTTTACAACCTATAAAGTGTTTAGAAACTTACTGTGCGTAATAATTTGGAAGAGTGCATTGTAAGTTTTTTATATTTAAAAAAAAATACTGTTATCATTAGGATGTTTGTTCAATAAAATTTGAATTGTACTCTTAATAGTTGATAAGATGAGAATTATGCTGACTGTTATTTACATCAATTATTTAGGTAAATGAGAAAAATATTATTTGCATAATAATTTGGAACAAGGTGTATACAACAGGCACAGTGCTCATTGCTTCATGCCTATAAGCACTCAAATTGTACACTTACATGCGTTTAGTGTTTAGCTTTAGATACAGTGAATCTATTGATAATATTTGACTGACCAGGGGATCGAAGGGGGGGTATCAATCTCAGTTCATTAAGTAAATGTCAATAGTACCTATGCATTGTATACCTCACACTCACGCTTCTCTGCTCTGAGAGATAGTTTCCTTAACCCCTTAAGGACCAAACTTCTTACTAAAAGGGAATCATGACATGTCACACATGTCATGTGTCCTTAAGGGGTTAAACAAACATTTGGTCATGCGAACACCACACTCTCACACCAAACGTATAGCTCTGGATCGCAAACTGTTTAATGTTGTTCCTAACGTTATAACGTTATGCTACATCTTGAATTACTAAATAACAAAAAGTTTACTCATGCCATACCAGCGGCGTACATACCAAGGTCGCAGGGGTCGCAGCTGCGACCGGGCCCGCCACTCCATCATCTTCTGCGGCCCCGGCCCACGCGGCAAACTCTGACTCCCATCCACCTCAGCCACCACTGGACCCCAGGGTAAGTCACCCTCCTGCACCTTAAAGGTAGGAAACAGGAGGGTGACAAACATTTTGTGTATGTGTGTGTGTGTATTTGTATGTATGTATGTCTGTCTGTGTGTGTCTGCCTGTGTGTATGGTATATGTGTGTGCTTGTCTGTTTGTATGTATTGGTGTCTGTCTGTGTGTGTGTCTGCCTGTATGTGTGTGTGCTTGTCTGTTTGTATGTATGTGTGTCTTGTGTGTGTGTGTCTGTCTGTGTCTGCCTGTGTGTATGTGTACCTGTCTTTTTTATGTATGTGTCTTTGTATGTGTGTCTTGTGTGTGTGTGCATGTGTGTCTGTATGTGTGCGTGTCTGTCTGTATGTGTGCTTGTCTGTTTGTATGTATGTGTGCCTGTCTGTTTGTATGTATGTGTCTGTGTACCTGTCTGTGTGTCGGTCTGTATGTGTCTGTCTGTATGCACATATGTCTGTGTGCCTGTCTGTTTGTATGTATGTGTCTGTGTGTATGTATGTGTGTCTCTATGTATGTGTGTGTGTCTGTCGGAGGGGGATAGGGGGGGGCCCACGGATCATTATCGCATCGGGGCCCCATGGTTTGTGTGTACGCCACTGTGCCATACCTATGTTTTATTATGTTGACTTTGACTGCGCTTGTTACTGCTATTGTGGCAATACAGGCACTGATGTACATATCCGCATGACAAAAGTAAAAAAAAAAATGTAAATAAATAAATAAATAAAAAGAAGGAAAAAACAACAACAACTTTTTTTCAAACGTAATATAACAATAATATTGTCAGTAAGAGTACAGTTGGTATGTGAGAAATAAAAAAAACGCACTTTGGCTGAAAATATCATCGTTGTAATACAACTGACCATTTTTAAACACTAATATTTGTGTTCAGCGAAGTCTCCCGAGTAAAACAGTACCCCCCCCATATACAGGTTTTATGGTGTCTTGGAAAGTTACAGTGTTAAATATAGTGCTTGCGAATTAAATTCTCTGCCTAGGTTGTCAGGCATGTCAATCAAATTTTAATTAATAAAATCACACTACTTAATATACAAAATTCTACGTGTATACTTATGTAATCATTTATCTATCAATTAAACTGTTAATAGCTCCCGACTGATTCCTCTCTTGCAACTGTCATTAGTCTAATACTATCCTTACCTTTTGTGTCTCTTTACCCCACTCCCTCTAGCATGTAAGCTCACTGAGCAGGGCCCTCAACCCCTCTGTTACTGTGTGTCCAACTTGTCTGGTTACAACTACATGTTTGTTCGTCCACCCACTGTAAAGCGCTGCGGAATTTGTTGGCTCTATATAAATAATAACATAATAATAATAATGTGCTGACACAGATTGCAGCAAAGTTTTTTTTATGCATTGACTGGTCCCGTTTTCTTTATTCTTCCCATCAGTGGGTAGCTTCCTGTTGATTAATTTTTGTTGTAGGTTTGGTGGTTGTCTGAAGGCCAAAATGGGTGTTTCAGAGAAAATGTTTTTCAGAGTCTGATCTTCTGTTAACATTGGTTGTAGGTCTTTAATGATTTTTCTTATTTCCTCAAGAGCTGGGTTGTAGGTGACCACAAGTGGCACTCGTGTTAATATTTTTTTCTCTATGTACTGTAGCAGGCGTGTGCGTGGAGTTTTTCCAGCAGAGTTTATTTGTTTGGTAATAGTCTTTGGTTTGTTGCCTGTCTCATAGATTGGGAGAGTACATTTAGATGGGAATTATGGTCATTAGCATAGCATATGCAATGGTACCTAGTGGCTTGGCTGTAGATGATGCCCTGTTTAGTATGGGAGGGGTGGTTGCTGGAGATGAGAAGGTAACTGCACCTGTCTGTGGGTTTTCTCTAAATCGAGATGTGGATTATGCCGTTGTTACATGTCACAGTGGTGTCCAGAAAATTCACAGATCTAGTGGAATATGCCATTTTTTGTTTGATAATTGGAATGTGTTAAAAGAGTCATGGAACCGTATCAGTTTTTCCTCGCTTTCAGTCCAAATTATGAAGATATCATCGATATAGCGATATTTGTATGGTTTGGAGTGCTATATTTCTAGGAATCGCTGTTCGAGATCTGCCATAAACAGATTAGCATATTGGGGTACCATCTTAGTGCCCATGGTTTGCAGTTAAACCTCATTGTTAAATCTTAATAATTATGTGTGAGGATGAATAGTGCCAGTTCTGTGATAATTCGAGGGCTGAATTTTTGGTTGTCGGCATAAGAGAGGAAATAGAAGAAAGCATTGAGGCCATCTGTATGTGGCATGTTGCTGTACAGAGCTTCCACATCCAAGTTTACAACGATGGTGTTAGCAGGGAAATTGGTGAGTTGGCAGAGTTTGTTAAGGAAGTCAGTTTTGACTTCTGAAACGGTTTGTGTTGGTGACTATGGGTTTTAGGGTATTTTCTACCAGTCCTGAGATCTGTTCTGTGAGAGTTCCCATACCTGTTATTATGAGTCTTCCAGGATTACCTGCTTTGTGAATTTTGGGATGCATATAGAAAGTGCCCATGTAGGGACTAGTTGGTATGAGTGATTGCAGTTCTAGATGTAAATTCTCAAGGAAGGGTTTAATGAGCTCCCCAAGTTGTAATGTATATTCCTTGGTGGAGTCTTCATTTAATTTTCTATAGTATTTGTCATCTGACAATTACCTGTCCCCCTCTTTTATGTAGTCCGGTGTGTTCATTATCACTACTGCTCCCCCTTGATGGTGATAGCATGATTATTTTTCAAGCTAAGAGTTTATGAAACATTTTCTTTTGGTTTTGCTTGGTTGCCAAGGATACTGTTTTTAGATGGAAACTTTCAATGCAACTGTCCAGGTTGGCATTTCGTCCTGGTACTGGAGTGAAATTAGTGTTCCTTTTCCTGTTGTAATCCATTGTTGTTTCAGTGCTCTCTTTGTCATGGAAGTATTCCTTAAGTCACATCCATCTGAAAAATTCTTCCTCGTCAGAGTAGACAATACCAGATTTTTCTTGCCATTTCTCTTTCTCTGTCAGATGTTTGTGATAATCCTGCTGGAGTCTGAACTTATTATTTTTCTTCTTAAAAAGGTCCTGTTGTTGCTTTTTCTAAAAAATTGTGCAGATCATGTTCTAGTTGTTCAGCAATATAAATATTATCCTCACGTAGATTTTGGAGTAGATATGTTTTTGTATGTTGTATGCTACATTTCTTGTTGTAGATGAGCTGGTTCCTTATTTTCTCACTAGTGTGTTTACACGGGTTTCCAGTATACTGCGATTTGTGCGTCTATGCATGTGTAGGCACATTGGTATATGTGTAGGTACATATATTGGTGCTTGTGTGTGGATGTATGTGTATGTGTGCAAGTATATATATTTGAGCAATTGGTTGTATTTATATGTATATTGTTGTATGTACATGTGTATAGTGTGTATACGTGTACAATTACACTACTTGTGTATATGTACATGAGTGTATGCTGGATACAGGCCTTCATGCATATCCTGCAACTCTTGGATGGAAATTCATGCATTCTTAATATAAGTGAATTATTTTACTTTATTCACGACCCTTCTAGCACCATCTTCTGCACTGTTTGCTTGTTTTTTTTCTCTCTCTCCCCCCTCACTCTGATCTTCACACTAGATATTTACAACCCTCTGCAAGAATGGTGTCTATTTTCTATCACCTGTGTCTTATCTGCGCTCATGACGCTTTAACCTCTCTATCACAGCATATCTTTGAATTCTAGGTGTTGTCTTGCTCAGAAATGCTGTAGACTTGACAAAGGGAGGTTCTCCCGAAAGCCTGTCATAAAAAATATGTTAGTCCAATAAAAAAAAAGGTATTACAAGATACAAATTTTATTGCTTATATATATATATTTATATATATTTAATTTTTTTCATAGAATGTTTGGGTAAAATTTACTCTAAATTAATTCGGTCCCATGTCTTCCCTATTAAGGGTTAATAAGTGTGTGGGGGATTAGGAAAATACCCCTCTCAGCCTCATTAGAGATTTTACCTTTTAGACGCAGGCAGCAAGGTGAATTGTTAGTGTAGGACTCATCTAAGAGGTTTTGTCTTGATGTGGCAGTGGGACCTACACATGAATGGCCATTGGAATGATACTTAAAAACATCGTTATTTAAATGTACATAGGGATTTGGGATAGTGTGCAAGTAACTTTTTTTCTTTGGTTTTTATAATATAAATATTAAATAACTATTATGATTATTCATTTTTCCCGTAGCGCTTTACACAGTGGGATTATTTAAGTAATTGACAGACAAAAACAATTTTCGACAGGCACAATTAATACAATTACATTTGGATTCAAATAGTTTCCTTACTGGTTACATAATAATGTAAAACACTTGCAGTTTCTATAACAAACATTTGAGTTAGTCACCGCTAGAATATTCTAGTATCAAGTTAGTAATTTAATCTGCACTGTAATGTTTTATTAGCTGAGCCTTGCTCACCTGTTCTGGTACAGTGGTCTCCAAAATTAATTGTGTGTTGTGTCTGCCAAACCAACCTATGCAAAATATACTGATGTTTTATCATCGCCTTCAAGTTTCTAAGTATGCCTAAATTAAGAAATGGTATTATATTCTGAGGGTTATACGCCAAGTTTGTATTTAGGATATTAAATACATCCATCAGCAAATCACTCATTTCAGCTATGGTCAACATACCGGATTTACTCGAATTGAATGCGCCATCAAATCGAATGTGCATTTTAAATTTTGAAACCTGGAAGGTGCAAAAATGTTTTACAGGCGAATGTACTGCACTTCAATACAAGAAGATACTTCTATACAACATATAAGTTGATAAGCGAGGACTGCCCTCTGACCGGGGCAAAATCTGCATTACGACAAAGATGCGAGGTACAAAGCCTTGTATCCCTGTCATAGTGATACGAATTTCACCCACGCAAATTTGCGTTGTGTCTAATGCGCCATTTGTACTCAAACCTAATACTCCCTCAAATGTAATGTGCATTCAAATTTTGGAGATTTAATTTTGCCAATAAAAAAAAAGAACCTCTACAGTACGTTGTCTGGTCATAGTGCAAGAAGTGCCCTGTTCCCTCCCCCAATGTAATTGGTGGAAACGGTTTGCTAATGGTTTTAATTCTTACTTGAGTTCTGCTGGGGTCAGCTCTCTGCACCTTACCTTGAGAACACAAAGCTGCTGATTGAAGCTTTGGTTAGCTCTCCTGAGCTAAACACAATGTCGTTGGCTGAACTCAGCCAATCAGCTAAGCACTGTACCGCCTGATTTAGTTCAGAACTGAGAGCGTCAGGGTCTCATTGAGGAAGGAAGCAGTGCTTGGAAAACCGAAGGTAAGAAGTGAAACTAATGGCAAATGGTTTCACTACTGAAATAGGGGATGCAAAGGCACTCCTGGAACTATAACCACTACGATGTGCAGTGCATGGAGTGTTCCTTTAAATATTTGTAAAAACTAAGGAACAAGTACAGTAGCTGTACAGTAAGACATTATAGAAAAAGGTTTTAGAAAACACTAGGAGAACAAATTCAATGGGATGAGATGAGAAAAGGGATGAGTACTGTAGGGAGAGGAATTAGTAAGTGAGCACACATTCCTATAGGGGTAGGATTTTAAGGGTATTTATTTATTTGTTTTTTAAACATGACATAACGCTGCAGATGTAACAGATCATATCCATTGTAGACAATGCTGAACTTTTTATTAAGAAAGAATTGAAAAAAAAAAAAGAAAAAAAAGATGACCAGGTTAAAGTGACACTGTAGGCACCCAGACCACTTCAGCTCATTGAAGTGGTCTGGGTGCTGTGACTCTTTTGCAACTAGTGCTTCAATATAAAATATAGTGGGGAGGGTGCGAGGGAGGGGGGACATATTAACTCTATAGTGCCAGGAAAACTGCTTTGTTTTCCTGGCACTATAGGATTGTTTTAATGCTCCCATCTCCAGATTTTTCTTATAGCACCCCAGGGCTACCTTATTCTTACATAATGTCATACCTCACTCTTCAGATTTCCGATAGTCTCCTGAACATTAAAAATATCCTTAAATCTCCTTTTCTTTTCATCTTAATGAAGTGGTCTGGGTGCCAGGTCCCCCAGGTTTTAACCCGTCAGATGTAAACATAGTTTCAGAGAAACTGCTATGTTTACACTGCAGGGTTAATCCAGCCTCTAGTGGCTGTCTGCCTGACAACTGCAAGAGGCGCTTTTGCGACGCTGAATCTGAAAATCACATTCAGCATGCAGAAAGTCCATTGGAAAGCATTACGAAATGCTGGCCGCGCATGCGCATTCCACTCCACTCAGAGGCTAATGTCGGTGTGAGAGGAGAGATCACCAGCGCTGAGGGAGCCCGGCGCTGGGTCAAAATAAGTAGCTGAAGGGGTTTTAACCCCTTCAGCATAGCGGGAGGGGGACCCTTACAGTGGGGGGACCTAAGGGTTATATAGTGTCAGGAAAACGTGTTTGTTTTCCTGACACTATAGTGATCCTTTAAGTGCTCTGTCGCAATTTCCTTGCGTTTGATCTCGGTGTCATTAAATAAGTGCTGGAAACTGCATGGAAGCTATCAAAGTGATCTGTGCATGATATAGGTGTAGAATACAAAGCTTCCCAACCAGATCACCAGGCATAAGACCCCCAAGAGTGTACTCCACTGGACCGCCAGGGATGAAACTCCATTCTGTAAGCAAGTAGGAGGCATTTGGGGGAAAAAATACACTTTCCCACACAGACCTAACCTCCCTGGCAGTACACAACATTCTGACAACACACACACACGTAAGTGAGATTTCCCAATAAGGGGGTTGGCTTTGTGGGCCAGCGATTCCTTTAGTTTGGATGTGCTAAGAGTTCTTTTTAAAAAGAAGATTTTATTTTTATTTTTTGCAATCTATGTTTCCAACACCAGCAAACACAGTACTTGACAAAATTACAAACAGCCAACAAAAATTCATGTATGTTAAATTGCTCTTAAATCTGTATCAACAAACGTTTCATTTCATATTCAAATGACTATAACATTCCACAAATACCAATGGTGTCATTTTGTGAGTATGTGAGGTGGTGTAACAGCCGCACTAGGACAATGTGGTGAATGAATAGTTCTTCTTAAATGGAATGTGAATACTGAACATTCAATTATATGTCCAGTGTCTCTGTCAAGTTCTCAGAGTTATGAGTGATAAACAGATTTTTTGTTTCATTAAAGTGACAAAAACAAGTATTATCACTATTAATGTTATATAGTGTTTGCATTATTGGTGCAGGTCTCTAAGTGTAGAACCATTGTGAATATATGTATCATTGTGGCCTGTGTGTGGTGTGTCTGTGTAGATATAAGAGTTCCTGTGTACAAACTCTCTCTCCCTATAGCCCCCTATAGATGTCACTCTCCTTAGCCCTTTTTAGATATCTCACTATCCCCTATAGATGCATCTCTCTCCCTTGCCCCCCACAGAGGCTCTCTCTCTTTCCTTTGCTCTCACAGTCAGCAAGAGATCTCACTGACTGTCTCGTTCTCTGGTGGTTATCTGTGTTTCTGTATATGCACAATGTCAGTTTGTGTGCACATTGAATAGATATCTCTCTCCTCCTAACCGCTGCTTTCCTTGCCCCCCACCCCCACTTGCCTCTCTCCTTGGCCTTAGATCTCTCTCTCTATAGCCCCACACAAATGTCTCTCTCTCTCTAGCCCTCCCCACAGATGTCCCCACCCCCACTTGCCTCTCTAGCCCTTCCCACAGATGTCTCCATCTCTCTAGCCCTCCCCACAGATGTCCCCGCCCCCACTTGCCTCTCTAGCCCTCCCCACAGGTGTCTCCCTCTCTCTAGCCCTCCCCACAGATGTCTCCCTCGCTCTAGCCCTCCCCACAGAGGTCTCCCTCTCTATGGCCCTCCCCACAGAGGTCTCTCTATACCCCTCCCCACAGATGTCTCTCTATATCCCTCCCCACAGGTGTCTCTCTATATCCCTCCCACAGGTGTCTCTCTCGCGCTCTATAGTTCCCCCCGATGTCTCTTTAGCCCCCCACAGATGTTCAATTATTAAGTAACCGTTCTATATTATTCCTCATGGCACAGATGTCTCCCTCTCTCTAGCCCTCCCCACAGATGTCTCCCTCGCTCTAGCCCTCCCCACAGATGTCTGTCTCACTCTAGCCCTCCCCACAAAGGTCTCCCTCTCTATAGCCCTCCCCACAGAGGTCTCCCTCTCTATAGCCCTCCCCACAGAGGCCTCTCTATACCCCTCCCCACAGATGTCTCTATAGCCCTCCCCACAGATATCTCTCTATATCCCTCCCTACAGATGTCTCTCTATATCCCTCCCCACAGGTGTCTCTCTAGTTCCTCCCGATGTCTCTTCAGCCCCCCACAGATGTTAAATTATTAAGTAACCGTTCTATATTATTCCTCATGGCACAGATGTCTCCCTCTCTCTAGCCCTCCCCACAGATGTCTCCCTCGCTCTAGCCCTCCCCACAGATGTCTGTCTCACTCTAGCCCTCCCCACAAAGGTCTCCCTCTCTATAGCCCTCCCCACAGAGGTCTCCCTCTCTATAGCCCTCCCCACAGAGGCCTCTCTATACCCCTCCCCACAGATGTCTCTATAGCCCTCCCCACAGATATCTCTCTATATCCCTCCCTACAGATGTCTCTCTATATCCCTCCCCACAGGTGTCTCTCTAGTTCCTCCCGATGTCTCTTCAGCCCCCCACAGATGTTCAATTATTAAGTAACCGTTCTATATTATTCCTCATGGCAAGAGGCTAGCTGGCCAGCTTGCACGTATAGAACGAAAATCGGTCAAATTTATGAAAGTGAAAACTGATGCTTTTCACCTGAGAACGTGAAAAAAAGTGCAGTGCTAAAGAGCACAAATCACCAAGGAAACTGACAGAATGCCTCTCAACATTCAGCACTTTGCACCTGAACGCAACCTGGCTTGCTAAGAATATTAAGGGTCTATGGATTCTATTAGGTTAGCTAATGATGATAGGAGTTGCAGTTCAACAATTGGACTGCTTATACGCTTATTCTACACAGCCAAGTCTTTCATGTACTTTTCATTTTAATTTCAAGTTGATATTGCATGATGTTACAACAGAAACCCCTCCCCCACCAGGAATCATAGACTTTCTACTTGAAAGCTGTCAAAAAGGACCATGAATAAAATGGGGGACGAATAAGAACATTTGTTTACAGCTGAAATGGCAATAAGAGCCTAATACGTTTTTACATGTGGTTAAAAATACACAATTAACACCAAAACCACGGGCTCTACAAACAGTCTACTTCATTTGTTTAGTCTTATCCTTAATGTTACTTACATAAGTGATTACAGACTCCTAGGGAAAACACAAAACCTGTTCTAGTAACACTGTCATGGCCCCTAATGCTAAAGAAAAATATGAATAATTTTGCTAATTAAGTGCTGTGTCAAAAAGGTAGAATGCATGATTTAAAGAGACCACAAGTGTGGGGATATATATCCCCCTCCCCCATGGGATGCTATTTATTATGGAAGAGAAAGAGTGAATTATTCAGATGCACCACAAAATATCAACCACCCTTTGTCAGTGCTCAGCAACAAGTTGTCTCTATAATTCTCTGCACGCGACACTGGCTTTCATTTTCAATAGCATGCATTTTTATATAGGGTCTTGTGATTACCTTGAGTTACCTAGCAACAGAAGCATTGAGGTCTTCAAAGCTCCACCTGACATTGCAAATTACGCAAGACCTGCATTTTCAGGTTGCCAAGCAACCCCTACATTATACAATCATAGTGCAATGCTGAAATAACATTTGTGCTCAGTAAATGCCTCAGAAATAAAGAATAAAGAGCATGACTAAGGAATACTATTGATTTATTATTTTTTTGTGCACAAACAGTGCATTCTGTTTGCGTACATTTCTATTTTCTATAAATGAGTTTATTTTCACAGCCAAGACAAAGATTTCATGTGATGGATGTACGGCATTATAGGAGAAAAAATATTTTAAACAAATATATAGTTATAAAAACATTTATAAAACTGAGATAAAGGGAAAAATATACACTGTATTCAACTACGTTAAACTAGGGCTTCAATGATCAAAATATACGTGATAATGGGCAAAAAAAAAATGTATGTTAGTATTTCAGAAATTCAGTGAGAGGAGGTTATCCTGATGGCAAGTGATAGACTTTAGAGAAGACCTGCATAGCTGCCTAAAATGTTCTTCTTGTGAGAGTACGTAACATTGTTCTCTCTTAGTGAAGGGCTGGATAAATACAGCATGATATTGCAATTGCAGTTTGTCTCAACTAGGAAAGTAGGATGAACAGACACTGCTGGATGAGATCCATATTGGTTTTCCTTCTTTTTAGAAAATGTCTGCTATTTTATGTCAAAATAACTGAAACAGCCTAGAGGATACATTTAATTCTGGGACATTGCTCAAATGCATTGTAATCACTACAGAGGTGGGAATGGTTCCCGATCATTTGTACTAAGGATCGACCGATGTTGATTTTTTAGAGCCGATACACATAATCTGTTAACTTTCAGGGAGATATCCAATAGTTTACCGATATTCTGTACATTTAACATATTAATTTTTTTTTGCACTTTTTTTTAATTAAGTGGTAAATGCACAAAATATACATGCCAGTCAGATTTTTTTTTATGTTTTCAAGAATATTTATGTGTGCTTAGTGGATTTGATTAGTAAATGCAGTGTGTGTGTGTGTGTGTGTGTGTTTGTGCAGTGGATGCAATGTGTTTGTGCAGTGGGTGCAGTGGATGCAGTGTGTGTGTGTGTGTATTATGGATGCAGTGTGCTTGTTTGTGTAGTTAATGCAGTGTGGGTAGTGGATGTAGTGTGGGTAGTGGATGCAATGTGTTTGTGTAGTGTGGGTAGTGGATGCAATGTGTTTGTGTAGTGGATGCAGTGTGGGTAGTGGATGCAGTGTTGCTAGTGGATGCAGCGTATTTGTGTAGTGGATGCAGTGTGTGTGTGTTTGTGTAGTGGATGCAGTGTGGATAGTGGATGCAATGTGTTTGTGTAGTGGATGCAGTGTGGGTAGTGGATGCAGTGTTGCTAGTGGATGCAGCGTATTAGTGTATTAGTGTAGTGGACGCAGTGTGTGTGTTTGTGTAGTGGATGCAGTGTGGGTAGTGGATGCAATGTGTTTGTGTAGTGGATGCAGTGTGGGTAGTGGATGCAGTGTGTTTGTGTAGTGGATGCAGTGTGGGTTTGTGTAGTGGATGCAGTGTGGGTAGTGGATGCAGTGTGTTTGTGTAGTGGATGCAGTGTGGGTAGTAGATGCAGTGTTGCTAGTGGATGCAGCATATTTGTGTAGTGGATGCAGTGTGTGTGTTTGTGTAGTGGATGCAGTGTGGGTAGTGGATGCAATGTGTTGCTAGTGGATGCAGCGTATTTGTGTAGTGGACGCAGTGTGTGTGTTTGTGTAGTGGATGCAGTGTGGGTAGTGGATGCAATGTGTTTGTGTAGTGGATGCAGTGTGGGTGGTGAATGCAGTGTGTGTGTGTAGTGGATTCAGTGTATGTGTTTGTGTAGTGGATGCAGTGTGTGTGTGTAAATATGTGCAGTAGGAATTCCACCCCGCCCCCACACCTGTCTCTAGTGCCCCCACCTATCCCTTAATGTTCCTCCCCCTTCTCTTTTAGCACCCCCCCTCAACCCAGTGTTCCCTTTCCCTTCCCTCCCCTGTACCTTAGTGTCCTCCCTTAATGTTCCTCTCTCCCCCCCCTAGTGTTCTTCACCCCCCTTCCCCTGTCCTATGGTGTTCTTTCCCCTGTCCCATAGTGTTCTCTCTCCGTCCATGGTGTTCTCCCACCCACCCCGCCCATAGTTTTCTTCCTCCCCTCCTGCCCTATGGTGTTCTTCCCCCTCCCCTATAGTGTTCTTCTCCCCCCTCCTGTCCCATGAGTGTTTTCTCCTCTTCCCGTCCATAGTGTTCTTTCTCCCTCCCTGTCCCATGGTGTTCTCCCTCCTGCCCTGGTGTTTTCCTCCCCTCCTGCCCCATGGTGTTCTTCCTCCTCCTGCCCATGGTGTTCTTCCTCCCCTCCCCTGCCCATGGTGTTCTTCCTCCCCCTCCTGCCCCATGGTATTCTTCCTCCCCATCCCTGCCCCATGGTGTTCTTCCTCCCCTCCTGCCCATAGTGTTCTTCCTACCCCTCCGGCTGCTCCATCCCTCCTGCTCCATGGTGTTCTTCCTCCTGCCCATGGTGTTCTTCCTCCTCCTGCTTATGGTGTTCTTCCTACCCCTCGGCTGCTCCATGTGTTCTTCCTCCCCTGCTCCATGGTGTTCTTCCTCCTGCCCATGGTGTTCTTCCTCCCTGCCCCATGGTGTTCTTCCCCTCTCCTGTCCCAGGTGTTTCCTTCCCCTCCTGTCCCATAGTGTTCCTGTCCACCCCCTCCCCCATAGTGTTCCTGTCCACACTGATCCTAACCACCCCGTCCCATAGTGATCCTTACCACACACCCCCTGTCCCACAGAGTCCCCACCCCCATCCCTTAGTGCCCCTCTCTCTCTCCTCCTTGGTCTCTGCTTCCCGGTGTGCCTTCTGGTAGTGTGGCTGAGCGGAGCAGTGCGCACCACGGTACAAGAGATTCAGTCTCCTGTACCCGGCTGGACTGACAGGAAGTGCTCTCTCAGTGAGCACTTCTTTTCAGTCCAGCAGGGTACAGGAAACACAAGTTCCTGTACGGCGGTGCGTACTGCTCCGCTCAGCCACGCTACACAGAGTGACTGGCAGGAGGGAGAGCTGTGCACCCACGTCCTGCCGGTCACACCGATCTAGCGCCCCCCCGGGACGCTTTTGGACGCGCCAGCCCATCCATTCATTATCAGTATTGCCGGTGATTATCGGCCGATACTTACAAAACAAAACTATTGGAATATCAGACGATAATATCGGTAAAACTGATAATCTGTCAATACCTAATTTGTATGCCCAATTCCTTTACAGTACAGTTCAATGACACAGGTTATTTAACACTCTCACCGATTCTCAAATCTTATGCTTTGGAAATAACGACACTATATATTCTCTGAAGTGTGCTTTTGTACTACAAGCTAATTCTGGATACTCTGCGCTGACAGCACCTATTCCATCGAGACCAAGCAAACCAACTGAGCCAGTTCAGTAGGATGCTTTGAAGTACAATCATTTTCCTGACATCTGGACTTGCTATACTCCATTCATGAAAATACCGGCACATATTACTTCCAGTCACTGAAGAGCAGCAATCTCCGTTCAGGTTAATCCAAGCATTCCATACAATAATGGCATACACTCCATAGGTCCCAGACTGCAAGGTTCTTCTGATCCGCTTTAAGCATATTTTTCAGTATTATTTGTTTGTTTATAGTCGCATGTAAGGGTCAGTTTTTGCAAGCCTGTTAATGGTCCACGTACATCATTTGTACTGTTCATTATTAATTTAAAATATTTCTTATTTTAAAGCAGCTCTTTTACCCTCCCTCAAAAATTAGTCATTTATAAAGGTAAATTCTTTATGAAATACTCACTTTGACGGTGTTAGAATTTCACTGAAATTCCAACTTAGTTAAAAGAGATCATAAGACAATGTCTGTATATTTCCTACGGATGACAAAAACCCGAACGTCACCTTCAAGTTTTGTAATTTTCACCAGCCATCACTAGTTATGGCTGTAAGGCAAAAGGAATAGTATATGGAAACCTGTGCAAGAATACAGGACAGATGTGGGCTTCGGGCAGGTGAAGAGCCAGGAGCTGAATAGGATTAACTGGATGAAGATGGCAGCAGACACCAGGGACCACTTGATATAAGAAAAATGTACCATCCTCAACACCCACAGACCATCACATTACAAGCGGCAAAATATGCAAAGACCCCAGAAGGTGGAAGAGCTACTTTAATTTTTCTTAAATGGACTCTGTAAGCACTAAAATCCCTTAATCTTATAAATACAGAAACCACTACCCAACATTACAACTTTCTGTAGTGATTTTGGTTCAGTGACCCCGTCTGTGCAAACTGGTAAATTTAATAATTGCAGTTTCTGATTATTTTGGAGAATAATTGAATAGTAAACACAAATGCTCCAGCTTTCTATATATTTATTCATAAATAGGTGATTTGGGACAATACTGCCACGAGGCCTTACCAGTGAAAACAATGCCATTTCTGAGAAACCATACAGCTTACAATTTGCAATTTCCGTGCTTACTAGTGGTTGTCAAACAGAGAGCCACTAAGGGCTATGATCTAAATGCGGCCATTATTTAACCTATTTGATGTACACTATGCAGATACCGGACACTGTGTGTACTTGCACCATAAGGACTGAACTAAGCTTAAGCGATTATGGTGCTTGAAGTGTCCCTTAAAGTAATACAAACAATGACAACGAACAACTCAACTTAATTCTATATTCTGGGAAGGAAAAACTATTATAGAATAGTTATAGAATGCAATTCTTATTTAGAAGATTAATAAGGAGACAACTTCTGTTTTATAATATTTAAAGTCAACAGAAATAGGCAAATAAATGAAGTGCAGCCCACTAGATGAAGATTAGATGTAAATACCAAAATACTCTGCAACTTACTATCACTGGTGTAGCAGAAACAAAGGTGAACCACGACTAACAATTCTGTTACTGTGTCCAGCAATGGATAAGGAAAGCAACTGTTCAACCACAAGTGCCCCACCTCAGTTCTAAGTTACTTACAAACCATACACCTAAATTGGAAACGCTTATGTTTTTCAAACTATTATGCTTCTTTTAAGAAAAAACTAACAAAAAAACAACAGTATACAAAATAGAACTAGGAACTGGAAGAAAATGGCAGGAGAAAAAAAAACTAACTAAGCTGGGGTCCCCAAAAGATAGATGCCATGATGCTTTGTCATTCTAAAGTCAATCTAAAGGCATGTAAAGCATCATGGGAGTTATAGTTTGAAAACATCTGGGGATCTACATTTTGGGCACTCCAGAATTAAACTAAGCGGTAGCTGTCAAATAATTGCTTCTACCCTATATTAAGCATAAATGCTTTTGTGAGGTCTGAAAACTAAAAACGTAGAGCGTCCAGCCACTAAATTTAGCTAACGGAAGACGATAAACTAAGTAATGCTTCTGTTCTCTTCCTGATTTACACTTTGTGCTCTGGCTTTGCCTGGTCTGCACTGGATTGTGATGTCACTTGCTTAATTGTTAATATACATTATAAAAGAAAATAGAGCATTGCATAAAAAAAAAAAAAAAAGGTTAGCAAAGTTATAGGCGGTTTTTAATGGAATATTCAGTGCAGTGTTAATTGCACTTTAATAATAAAAAATGGTAGCAGATAACTAATAAGGCTTTCTCGAAAGAAAATTGTTATTATAAAAAGGAATTTGAAAATGCTTTGACATAACTTAAAGACATAAAATAAGCATCAACAGTTTAGATACTTCATCAACTCAAGACTACATAAACAGGTTAGTTCTTATTGGCCATTGTTCCTTTTCTACAAAGCAGCCAGCCACTAGCTCTAAGCTTAATTAATACATGTTCACTTACAAACCATATTCTAATAAGTAGCTGATTACCGACCAATTTGACTTTGCATATAGGCAGACCAAGTTGTCCAAATACGCTATTTATTAACATCTATGAACATTATAAAATAATTAGTTGGTTATAAACACCTTCCTGAATAACAAGGATGTGCTTTGCTTTCTATATTATAGATAATAATCATCAGTAGAAATTGAGAATTTACCCATGTTGTTCACAACAACCCCCTCTTCCCCTGTCCAAAAATAAAATCAAGTTGATAGATAAAGCATTTACCGATCTCCTTTTGGTTTCCTTTTCTGAACGGTTTTTCCCTTGGGTCTTCTCTCACTTCCTAAGCAGGAGCTCCCTCCTGGGCCTGTTACCCGTAGCGATTCAAGACCCTTGGAAGATTTCTTAAAGGTGAACTCTACTGTTTCCCCTTCCTTGAGGCTTCTAAATCCTTCCATGTAAAGTTTGCTCTGAAAACAAATAAAACAGAAAACACATTATAATTTAAGGGAACAAAAACAACAGTACTCGCCTACACCAAAGTAACACATAGTCTAGAATGAATCACAAAGACGGTATACAGCAGATAAGACAGTAGCGGGAAAATGGTTAGGAAGAATATACGAATCTTGGACCCAAGATTCTTAAAATTAAGCTTGATTAGGTCAGGGACACTACTGTCTGGAACATTGAGTAAAGTATAGTTTTGGTTTTTTTAAAGTCTGGGTCCTCAACACTCATTTTACCAGATTAATTTTAGTTTTTTTTTGAAACTGCACACATATTTTATATTACGGTAAAAAAACCAACAACATTAAACTGCTTCCCATTGTTGAATATGCTTAAAGGTGAGACATCCCTTCTCGAGAAATAATCCCATTAAACAAATACTTTTTTTTTTTTAAATTATTATTTCTGCTACAATTTTATATGAAAGACTTTGTAAATTACATGATAATCCAGTTAAGACCAGGCAGAGCTATTTGTTAAAATCCACTGGATAAGTAAACATAATATTCAAAACACAGGCAAGTGACAGTTCCCCTTTAAAAAGTACACTTTAGGCACCAAAACAACTACAGCATGCTGGCACCCCCTGGCCCTTGAACAGCATGGCCCCCTTGACTGACTGCAGCATTGGGAGGACAGGCAGTCACTCCCTCCCAGAGAGACTGGAGCCATGCGGCAGGTGAGGAGGGGGCAAGGCCAAGAAGAGAGTCAAGAGGACAGAGGAAAAGGCATGGGAGAAGGGGGTGCAGGCTGAGCCCCTAACTCCCAACAGCCACAGCCTGGACACAAGAAAATGTCATCCTCCAGGAGAGTGAGTGAGTCTCTAAAAATCTGTGTCCCAAAGAAGTTTAGGCTTTTTAAATTTTGGCCACTACCTATTGCCAAGTTGCGCAAGTCTGCTCTACAATAATGTCAGGGAGTTAGACTCCTAAAATGATGAACAGTTGGTAAATATGTTTTGTTACACAAAGATGGCATGTTGCTATTTCCAAATACAAATGCAACCTTCTAACAAGAAAGTTAGATGCATGCTATAAAATAGGACGTGATATTTGCAGTGCCAGATTCCAGGGATTGTGGTCTGGACCTGAATAATTAACACGTTTGTAGTCTAAACGAACAGCTTGTTTTTCTTTTACAAATACAGTGTCTGCAAATGATTACATTAAGGTTTTGTTTGTTTTCTTTATGCACATCAAATGATATAGTGTTTAAGGACAGTCTGAACACAGATTATTTTAAAGATTAACAATTGTTTTGCTACATGTCAAAGATGAGTAAACACCAAGCCATTGTCTCAGTAGAAAAGATGGTAATTTCCCATTATTGTCATGGGTAATTAGCTTGTTTTAGTTCATTACTTTATCTAGGACAATTTAGTATGTTTCCATTGACTGCAACTCAATATTTACTATTAAAAAAAAAAAAAAAAATAACAGAAAGGTAGGGAATCAAGCTATTCCCATATTCAATAGCACAGGGAATAATTCCTCAACTTTTCTAAACTATTCTCAAAACACAGGCTGTCGAGATAAATTACCAGATTGTAGCAATTGTTTGGATCCTTGCGGTTCCCTAATTCCAAATACCCACTGCTTGTGGCAGGCTTGCACGCTTTGTGTGGTTGGTTATACTGAATTAATGGGGGGACAGAATACGGATGGAAGATTCATTTAAAATTACTTGATTGTTCCACATCTCCTCTAATAGTGCATGTATAAAACACATGGAATATGCTCTTGTATGTTGCACACTTAATTCATTCTGATTTCATACATTGACATTCCAGGACATAAAATGTAATTTCCTACTCAACTAGCCGGGCCTTATTAAATACTCTCCACTGCTAAATTTTTACTCCCCAAGTGGCTAGTGACGAGTGGAAATATTAAGCCCTGTACATTCCATACATCAGCATTGGCAGAAGATTCCTTCATGGCATATAATGTTGCTCCTGTGAGCTTGTTGCCCTATTCCATTCATGTTTTAGTTCATGAATGGAGCAAATAGTATTGCACAGCCTCCTAGTACATCAGAGGTGATGGGAACTTGCAAGGAGTTTGTCCGCCACATATTTAACATACCGTATACATGTACAGTATACATTCTGTATACTCATTACTTCTAAAGAGGTTTGCGGGGAAGGTGCATTTAGTTACAGCTATTTTTACAATGAATGCAGTTATAGGCAGAGAGGATATCTTGCCTCATAATTATCCATGGAAAAAGTTTATAGTTTATTATGATGCTTGCTGCGTTCCCTACTTATCGCAATGAGTGAAAGAACAAAAAAAGTAAAATAAGCCAGTTAAATAATTTTAAATTGGTGCTAATAACAAGGATTTTTTTTTTCACCAGCTTACTAGATACAGAGCAATGGGATATAATGGCACTTTATAAATAATAATCATAGTACAATAGTCTGTCCGGGAAATATGTTAGCTATCCTGATTTCTACTGAATGTGTGAAGGTCTACTGACACCTCTAGAAGCTGGATTCATGAACAGAATATTTTGCAGCTCACACGGCTACTGGTGAATGATCAAATGGCCTGTGTCGCTGCTGTCTAAAACTAATCCACAGTCCATCTAAACAATATAGTATGTAAGTTTAGTGTATATTACCATAGAGGTTTCATATAAAAAGGTATAAACAGGCAAAAATAAATAAATGAGAGAATGAGAGTGAGCGAGCGAGATATAGAGACCTACTTAATAATAAAAAATACAAAAATTTACTTTACATTTACTGTACTTGTGATTTTTGTTTCAATCGCTCACTCATCTCACCAGTAAACTACACACCATCTTTACTGGGCTGGATGAATGATCAAAATTAAAGTACTATAATGTAAGGAGTCATTCTGAGCATCATTTGAGAAATCTGCATCATTTCTATGGTAACAGTGTAGTGAGAATCCTGCAGATCTGAGAGTAGCCTATAACTGCAGCGTTTGGTACCCATAGAGCTGTCAGTTAGGCAATGGTGCAATCCGTTCTGAGCTGCTTGTGTTAATTATGTTTAAAATGTATGCATAGTTTGCGCATGTATACAACTTGAATTTATTTCTCTTTCCGTATGGCTGCTAGTAGTTTTTAAAGAAAGATGGCAGCAGTGATTACGGTGCTAGGAGTGGCCTGGCACCGTCCCATGGTAAGATGTCAAATCATTTTAGCATGGTTCTGACAACTTGTCTGGGTCCTGTCAGGTTCCAGGGCTGCATCTTCTAGTCCTCTTAGAAGCCTGTAGTAGTTATGGTGCTTGGAGTGCCATACATCTTAAGGGAGAAGTGGAGCTCCTGATGTTTGTTCATAGGATAAGATCAGGCCCCATTGACCTGAATGAGAAGCTTCAAATTGCTTGAGTCTCTACCTTGTGATGGATGAATCAGCTTGCTACCAACACCCGCTGTGCAAGTGCATAAGGATCTTATAATGGTAAATAAGTTATTTATTTGCATTTTTTTTTTTTTAAAGCAGCATACTAAGCACAATTGCCACATACAACTCTAAGAGTAGCAGTTGTTGCAAAGAGGATCTAGGTGTCGTCTTCTAATTTTAGGTCTACATATTTTGAAGCAGTAAAACAAAAATAGAGACCATCTCCTCCTCATCTACATTTATAATGAACATCATGATTGCTAGGGGCTGCAATGGGTAGGCTAAGGTATGCTTCACTATCTGGGTGGATTTTGCCCATGAATATTCGTATTATAAATACTGCTGCATGGCTTAGGCTTCTTGGAGTTGTAACTCTTCTACAGTAAAAGATGACGAGTGAAGTACAACTCCCAGAGATAAGCTCACTAGTGCTATAGCAAAATACCTAGGCATCATGATAGGATGAGTCACTTCTGAGACAGGGCAGATCTCACTGCGAAAGATATAAGCAGGGTAACGTCAAGAGTGTTTTGAGTTTTTTTTCCCCGTTATTTTTATTCTTGTGTGTATGTGTATATATATATATGCATATATATATATATATATATATATATATATATATATACATACACACACACACACATACATATATATGTAGTTACATTATAAAGTATATATATATTAAAAAAAAAATAAAACAATTAAAAAAATAAAAACCACACACAGACACAAACACAACAGGTCAAATCCAGCCCAGACTACCATCCAACAATGCTGTAGATGAGGGGTACGCAAAAGGCAAATCCCCAGATGTACGAGATCTAAATCTCCCACAATGCTTTGCAGGCTTTTAGCATGACAAAGCATCACAGGAGTTGTAGTTTTAAAACATCTGGGGATCTACCTTTTGGGCACCCCTGCTGTACATGAACTACTAGTCTATATTGTTCTCATTACGGATACCAAGTAGCCACTGTTAGAATAAGGCAAGGACCATTCCAGAAAATACAAAAACACAGAAAATAAAATAAGAGCATGAGAGTAATGAATGTGGGGACAAAAACAGGAAGCCAGAGGCATGCATCGGGGCAGGTCTGTATGGGAGGCAGAGAAGAAGGAAATGGCACGGAGACAATCGCCCATATCAATGCTATCTAGCTTTTGTCAAATTACATTTATCTTGCAAGTGCAGGGGGGTTCCTTTAGAAGCCAAAAAAGTAAACCCTGCAGATGTTTGTGTACTGCATTTCCCATAATGCTTTGCTAACCTGAAAGCTGGCTAGGCGTCAACTGAAATACCTAAATACCTTTAAACATCCACAGTACAAAAGCTAGCCATCAATTTTCTACTTTGAAGAAAGAAAAAAAAGAAAAAATTAAAATAAAAAAAAAGAACTGATACATAGAAAAAAATGAAAGGTTAGCCATTATGAATATTGTGTTTCTAAGACAATATTACAGACCATGTTCCCTTTGTTGATCAATGCAATTTTTTCTTGTATTGAGTCCACTTTAACCCAGTTTCCCTTAAATTTATTAAGTATGACACTAAAAACCTGTTGAGTCGACAATCTTTGAGGAATTGACTTGGACAGCTGTGATCTATGCCAACAGCTGGCTCTTACACACAATAGGGGCAGATATTGGAGGTGGGGGGAGACAGAAGCAGCATTGCAGAGAGCAGCAAATATATCTATCTGAATGTGAATGGCATTTGAAATCTATGCTTACATTATTGGAAATCCTGTTAATTATGGATGAATTCATTATATAGTCACGCCATCTTGTTAGCACTGCTTGCTGCTCTTATCACCAAGCAGGTTTGTCTCAGATTTCCTGTTCCTCTTTCAAGACATCTCTCATTGTAAGAGAAACCAAAAGGTCAGGTGACAAAGCCATAATCAAGTTTTAGAGGCAATAGTAAGATAATGTCACATTTGAGAATGCAAGCAATGCCATCAATCACTAACATTTGCTGTACACTTCAGAAGCCCTAACAAAATCCTTTCCTGAAGATCATTATATCTTCTATTTATATTTCTCCCCACATTATCACGTTATCAGATAGACCATGTTTACTGGAAACATCTGATTACATCAAGCGGTTAGGCAGTACATGAAAAGTGCTTCCAGATAGTAAGTACAATTCATATTGTGCACAATAAAAATGGAAAGAAAAAAAAAAGTCCTTCTTGTAGCATGTGAAGTCTGCATACAGATGAGCAGACTTTTCTTATTTGGACAGTCAGCATAAATAAGCGATGTGGATCAAAGATATGGCTGCTAATTAGTTGACGTGCGGAATGGGGGAGGTTGGCATTGCATAATGCCAGGGGCTGCGCACCTTCATCAGTTTATTATGAAATGGAGAGAACTGGCACTATTTGGGTATGGTACCTGGAGCAGTTAATAGGGGGGCAGGCACTCCACCAGATAGTGGACATCCTTGCAACTGTACTACCGATTACACATGGATGAGGGTAATGGCTGGACTACTGCTGAGTAGGTCACCACCTATCTTTAAGGTGTCCCCCTTCTTTTATTAATTATTTTGGGTACAGGTCTCAATATTGTTAACATACCAAGTTTCCCTAGCAAAATTCATACAAACTGACTTGGCATCATGAAATCTGCATAATAACTTATAAAAACTCATGTGCAAGTATATTATGCACTTGTCTTGGAAGGCCTATAGTGCCCTATAAAGAAGCTTTGACTATGAGGGGAAGTTATGCCTTTTTGCAGGGGGGAGTGGGTGAGGGGGAAAGGGGGGATTATCACATCAACTGTTAAAGGAACATGTCATTGACCTTCATCTTAAAATATTATTGATATACCACCTCTATATTATCATCACTTTTTAATCAATGTATATTAAAATCATTAGCCATTTCGGAAAGCCAACTTTGGCTGGTTTGATAGTTATCGTACCCAATCAGTATTTTTCAACCATCGGTTGCTTTTATAAAATGTATGCGATTTATGCCTGCAGCACCTTTTGTCAGGGCAGCTGCAAAATAGTGAGCACTAGCTGCATTAGCTGGGATAAATGACAGTCTCACCCAGGTGCATAAAGATGGCGGTCAAAGTGTGGAAATGGGAAAGGTAAGCAAATACATTTTTTTGAAAAAGATTATATTAAAATAAAACTTGTATAATACTTTGTTCAGAGCAAAGGTTTAAAAATAATATCAGGAAGTATTACTTTACTGAGAGGGTAGTGGATGCATGGAATAGCCTTCCAGCTGAAATGGTAGAGGTTACCACAGTGAAGGAGTTTAAGCATGCGTGGGATATGCATAAGGCTATCCTAACTATAAGATAAGGCCAGGGACTAATAAAAGTATTTAGAAAATTGGGCAGACTAGATGGGCCAAATGGTTTTTATCTGCCGTCACATTCTATGTTTCTAAGTTATCCACAAAAATAGAAAAAATAAGGGCAGGGCATATAATTGCAAAGTGCACATCAAGTGCAATATAAAGATTTATTTACAAGTACATAAAGTACAAATGTTTCCAAAGGACATGAATTGATAAAGGGGATAACCTGAAACGTTTGTACTTTATGTCCTTGTAAATAAATATTTTTGTAGCACTTGAAGTGCACATTTGCAATTGTTTGCGCTGCCCTAATTTTTTCTATTTTTGTGGATTACTTTACCCTGCTTGGAGCTGCAGAGGGAGGTGTCAGAAGCCCAATAGGAAATGTTTGTATTTGGATTTTCTCTGGGTACTGCAGTAAACCTTACCTACAAGGCTATATACTGGTCATAACTTGTGTTTTTTCTTTTTTGCTCTATGCCTAACTCCTTTACCATCAGTATTAAATTAAATGTATTCTTACATTTTTATAATATCCTTCTAGCTATGTTAATCTGGGATGATCTTGCATTAAACCTAATTGATACGTTATATCACATGTGAATTTTTATTACATTTCTTCCAAGGATGATTTTTGTAAAATGTGTCTCTTTAAATAAAACTCATTTTAAAAAAAATGTTGATGAGTGTTTTGGTTTGGTTTTAAGTAGTTTTTTTACAACATTGCACAGAAACGATCCAAAAGGATGGTTTCCTTTTAAATTCTGTGCTTATGGGTCATATTATCTGTGACATCATCCCAGACAAAATATTTCTCGCATGAGATCTGCTATTTACTACAATAGTAATCTTGGCAGTTAAAGTTAAAGTAGACACATGTGATCTGGTCCTCTTAGCTCTGTGCCGAGAGAAAAAACACATAGCAGTGAGCGTCAGCAACCCAAACAACCAAACTACTTACTATGACACATACGGGTTTATTTTCAGTGAGAATTAACAGGGGAATTAATAAGTTTAGACCAAAATAGCCAAGCTGAAGAAAACCAATGGCCTGAGAAAGATTTATTCTCCCCAATACGGCAATTTTACCTTCAAATTTGCAAATAGTCTTTTCAATTCTCCAGAATTCTAGGTTTATCGATTAAAAACAATTATTTTCCAGCACTTATTTAAGAGGTGTATCCATACATGCTGCTTAAATTGTGCACTTTACTAGGCCAAATATATAAGGATGGGGATTAAACAAGGTTAGAAATGAGAATGATAATTATTTAAAAATCTAATGGAATCCGAATAGATGAGCTGTCACAGAGTACGCAGCAGCCTGACGACAGCTGACCTGCTACTGTAAATAAGGCAGTTGACGAATGTAGAAGTTTGTCGCATAAGGGATCCTGCTGTGAAAGTACTCATTTTACATGATATATAAAAAAAAAAAATGTAGATAAGGACAATAGGCCTCTGGATGAATATTATTTTTTATGATCAATAAACTCAAAGCAATAGATACTCCGGAAGATGTTGCAAATATGATTTTCAATAATATTCTAGAAATCTATATTTTTTTGGCCTTATTTAATCTTTTGCATACAGGAGGAATTATTTAAAAAGGTAAGGCGTTTCTATATTTATATATAAATATATATATTTCCCCACTTAACCCCCAAAGGCAAAGAATACCAATTAGTTTCTGTGTCATGGTTTAGTTGCCCGTGTGTAATTGGGCAATTCATTCATTTAGATCCATGTTCGTACATGAATCAACCCCCAACGATAGGTCTTTCATCCAGGGCCAGATGTCCCATTATGAGACATCTGCCTAGTGTCTTGTGACTCTCTGTACCTCTACACAACATGCATTTAGTTATCACCATAGACAGAGGTGCCTCTATATGGTGTTTACAGAGACAACACAATGGCAGCACAAATGGCCTGACAGCGACAGGTGCAGAGCAAAGTATTTGTTTCATTGTTTAAGGGCCCACCCAATGCATTTAAGCACCGGGATACTGGTAACAAAACCTGTAGTTAACAGCTGGGAAGGGAATCTCCTAGGACTTCAAAGGGGGATATGGGAACAAAACACTTAGAAATTATATTAATCATAACTAGTGATACACATTTCATTAATTGCCTTAGCCTAGCAGATGAAAAAAGAAAAAACAATCAGATAAAAACTAGTCAATTTTCCATAGAAAATTCTTCCATCCATGCTGCAGAAAATGTTATATGTACATTGTCCCAAGCATCTTGACATGCATTTAAAGGACCACTATAGTGTCAGGAAAACAAAGCGGTTTTCCTGACACTATAGTGCCCTGAGGGTGCCCCCACCCTCAGGGTACCCCTCCTGTGGCGCTGAAGGGTTTAAAACCCCTTCAGCAGCTTACCTTATTCCAGCGCCAGGCTCCCTTGGCGTTGGTGACCTCCCCTCCCCCGCCTACGTCAGCTTCTCCTGCCCCCGCTTTCCTATGGACGCTCTGCGTGTTGGAGGCATAATATGCCTCCAGCGTCGCAGATGCGCCTCTGGTCGCTGTCCGGAAGACAGCCACTAGAGCAGTGATGGCCAACCTGTGGCACGCGTGCCACAGGTGGCACGCCGGGGCGTCTCTGTGGACACGCAGCCATAGGTCGCCGGAAGAGGGAGCCGCTGGCTCTCTGCAGAGTAGGCGCCTGCCTGCCCAAAACGGCAGGCGCCTACTCTGCTTCCGTGTCGGGAGGACAGGGGGAGGGCTCTAGGGAGCAGCTCTCCTGCGCGATGCTGTGTGGAGTGTTGCCACGCGTTACCATGGCAACGCTCCACACAGCATCGTGCAGGACAACAGGAGAGCTGCTCCTTAAAGTACTTACCACCACCACCGGACCACAGGGATGGCTGTGTCACCCCCCTCCTTTTTTTAAATGTATCTGTACCCCTATCCCCCACAGCACAGCACTCCTACCCCCACACACAGCACACTTACCACCCACAGACAGCACCCCTACCCCTACAGCACCCCTACCCTCACAGGACACCTACCCCCACACACAGAATCCCTACCCACCCCACACACAGCACCCCTTCCCCGCACACACAGCACCTCTTCCCCGCACACACACAGCACCCCTTCCGCGCACACACACACAGCACCCCTACCCCGCACACACACAGCACCCCTACCCCGCACACACACAGAATCCCTACCCCCCCACACACAGCACCCCTCAGACACACACACAGCACTCCACACCCTTACACACAAACACATACACTGCACCCCTCAATGCAGTATGTGTGTGTGTATTCAGCAGTCTGTATGTATTCAGCAGTCTGTATGTGTGTGTGTATTCAGCAGTCTGTGTGTGTTTTTATTCAGCAGACTGTGTGTACTCAGCAGTGTGTATTCAGCAGTCTTTGTGGGTGTATTCAGCAGTCTGTGTGTATATTTAAGTGTGTGTATTCAGCAGTCTGTCTGTGTGTGTATTCAGCAGTGTATGTATTCGGCAGTCTGTGTGTGTGTGTATTCAGCAGTGTCTGTATTCAGCAGTCTGTGTGTGTGTACTCAGCAGTCTGTGTGTCTGTATGTATTCAGCAGTCTGTGTGTGTTAATGTATTCAGCAGACTCTGTGTATGTATTCAGAAGACTGTGTGTGTACTCAGCAGTCTGTGTGTGTGTATTCACCAGTGTATGTACTCAGCAGTCTGTCTGTATGTGTATTATATAGCACAGAAAACCTAGACCTGTGCTAGAGCGTCGCTGGACGTCCTCATGCTGTGTGAGGACCTCCAGCATCGCTCAATTTCCCATAGGAAAGCATTGAAAAGCATTTTCAATGCTTTCCTACGGGTAGCTCTAATGCGCATGCAGGGCATTGCCATGCATGCGCATTAGGTCTCCCCGGCCGGTGGGCGGGATCAGTCTTGCCCACCGGCCAACGTAAAGACTGGGAGGAGTGGCGGCAAGAAGAAACCACCGCTGAAGGACATCGGTGGGGTCTCAGGTAAGTCACTGAAGGGGTTTTCACCACTTCAGCAACCGGGGATGGGGGGTGGGAGGGAGAGGGGACCTGCAGTGCCAAGAAAGTGTCTCCACGCTTTGCATAAAAACTTTGATTGGCCAGGGTTGTGTTTGGCTCTGCCTCCATCCCATTGGCTGAGATGATCAGAATTGACACTCACAACCAATCCAAGGTTTTCCAATGCACAAACGTGAAATAGGCGTTTGTGTGCCTCATCCTATAGTGTTCCTTTACGCTTAATTTCCTACTGAAAGCTGTGCATTACACATTCGACCTAGACATGGTTTGATTAATTCTGAAGGAAAATACAAATTAAGATAATTATGTGATTCAATAAAACGTCAAGTAGCCACATTAAAATTTTAATGAAATAAACTATAAATGGGTAATTAATTTTGTGACATTACCATTCAAGAGATAACTTAGATACTGGATGACTTCAATCACTTCATGAGGACGTCCAGCGTCAAACAAAACCCTATAGGAAGGCACTGCAGCTATGAGGAGGGCCTATTGTACTAAAGCGGCGAGTGCATTGGGTCCTCCTCATAGGAAAGCATTGCTGCAATGCTTTCTTATGGGATTTTGCTTGATGCTGGACACTCTCATGAGGAGGTTAGGACGTCCAGCATCAGTTACGTGACCAAAAGTCGCCTCCTCACCAGGAAGTGCCTCTAGTGGCTGTCCTAAACCTGCAATGTAATGAAACGCCGCTCACTCCATTGCTGTTGGGGCTGTGTGCATGCCTTTGATAAGGAAGTCTTTCAGGCATGTGGGGGTGTGGCTGAGGTGGCAGAATTCTTCATAACATTTACTTTTGTGTGCAAAAACTATAAAGATTTGAGCATACAAAAACTACATATTAAAGGGACACTATAGTCACCAGAAAAACTATAGCTTAATGTAGTTGTTCTGATGAGTATAATCATTGCCTTCAGGCATTTTGATGCAAACACTGCCTTTTCAGAGAGATGGCCACTGGAGGTGCTTCCTGGCTCAGTGCCGCACAGTAGGCAGCTCTACCGTTCAGCGTCTCCACACACTGCATGGGGACGCTGAATTTTCCTCAGAGATGCATTGATTCAATGCATCTCTATGAGGAGGTGCTAATTGGACAAAATGGCATTTTGCCCTGCCCCCTTGCCTATTTTAGCCAATCCAATGTTTTCCCCATGGGATTGGCTAAAAATCAGCAATTGAGATGATGTCGTCAAGGGGGCGGGGCCAGTGCCGGCAGACCCGAGCAGCACTGGATATAAGGTGAGTTTTCATTGCTTTTGGTGGGTTTAGCAATGTGGGTTTAGGGTCAGTAATACATGTTTGTGTTCCTGACCCTATAGTGTTCCTTTAAAGAGGCAAACATCGATCAAAAGGCATTAAAGCTGTATTGGTGCCTGGAGTATCTTTTTTAAGTAATGGGACACCTAGCCATTTTAATTTTTTTAAACCACCAGAAAAAAAGCAACAAAAATAAAATAAAAAATAATACATTTGGAAAACATTTAACTTTATTATTAAATAGCAAATATATATGTCACACTAAATTAATTCCATAATTCCACTAGCCTTTTTACACCCTGTTAGTCAGTAACACTCATGATTTCCTTTTCATATTTAACAACTGACTCATGAAGGATTCAGCTTTCATGTGAATAAGGCGCACTGCTAAATCTCAGCACTGTTGGCATCAAATGCAAAACTGTGCTGCTAAATATTAAATGCTTAAAGCCTACATTTAAGTTCCTTAAAAATAACATCCATAGCAACATGTAAACAGATGGTCCCACTCTCGGTAGAGTATGTTCATGAACATCTGTAAAAATATTAATTTACTACCGGGAAAAAAATTTTTTATTATACACAATAAGGTAGCAGTTAAACACTGTTATGTTATTGTGATAGCTAGACTGTGGACTATGGTTGGATCCCACTTGCTATGGAATTGGGTGCTGAGAAGGTCTGAATTGTGCTGACCATATTAGCCAGACTTTACCAACAGAATATATGGCTCCACACCTCTTTGTCTCTTCATTAAATATCAAAATGACTGTCAAAAGAAGGGGGTGGGGAAGGGCGAGAAGTAATCAATTTCATTTATTTAACTCTTGTGTAACAGAGATATGAGCAGCATATTGTAAAGCAATCTGTGAAGCACACTTTTTTTTTTTTTTTTTTATGCACCCGTGAGGGACCAAGAAAGGATTAAATTTGTATTTCCAATGCTGTAGTGTTCCTTTAATGTCATTTGCCCAAGTATAAATCAGTGCAATGACAAAAATATATTAAAATAATACATATACGTTTATGGCATTGCTACAAATTTCCAATTACAATACACCTGTGAAAAAATAAATAAATAAAAACCACCTTAGAAATTAGAAGCATGCAGGGATTAAACTGACAATCTTTAAATGACAAGCTTTGGATAAATTTTTAAAAATGAAGATACTCCATGCACCATAACCACGACAGCACGCGATTGTGGTTATTGAGCCAGAAGTGCCCCGATCTCCCCCCTTTTGTAAGTAATCAAACTTATTTTGACTTCTTAATTGGGGTCTGCCTCCACTACAAACTATGGTGTGACAGAAGCTCTGTGTCTGAGCTAAGTATTCAGCTATCACCAAGGAACTTCTGGCTCTCCGGCATTGATGGTGGGGGGGGGGAATCCAGGTAGAGAACAAAAACATTTTCAAAACGGTTTAACCACAAGGTTTTCTCTCTAGGGCCAGATCTTTCTTTCCCCAGCAACATCCAGGTTATTCAATGTAGTTTCAGGAAGCACGGAGTACTACCAGGCAGGAGCACCGCTGATTGGCTATGACTGTCACCGGACTTCTCCAACGGTTTACCCCTTCAGGTATGAAAGCATCACGGACCTCTGGGCACCATAACCTAATTTCAATTAAATTGTTATGGTGTCTATTCAGTTCCTTTAAGTGATAATCTAGAATAATACTTTTGAGCTGCTACACAAAAGACATCCAAGCCAAGACACCATACTGGAGATTAAATGAATGCACTTCTGAAATCCCTTCTTGGTTACGACTAAATATGTCAAAGTTCTACACATGCCTAATTGCCCTCAACGAATTTTTAAAAAACCATAATTACCAATGAGACAGGTACTGGGACTTCATCCGCAAAGAGCACACGTCAGTGCTGTACTCTCATGCATGCGTGTACACAGCACTAATTTCTATGGTATACGGTTTCGCAGGATCTTCCATAGATATTGTAACACAAACAGCGAATAAATGCATATTACCTCAGCCATCGCTAGCAAAGCTTGGCAGAGGAAACTCACCTTTTGTCAAATGGAAGAAAAATACATAAGACAATATAGTCCTACTTTGAGATGGAGAGATAGAAAAAAATAAAGTCTTGACAAATTTGGTTTAACCCCTGAAGGACACATGACATGTGTGACATGTCATGGTTCCCTTTTCTTCCAGAAGTTTGGTCCTTAAGGGGTTAAGGGGTTAAACCAGTTAAAAAAAAAAAAAAAAGTTAGGAGCTAGGGGTTTTTTTGTTTTGTTTTTTTTCTAACAAAGCTTTATTTTCAACAACAAGTCTATATTTGTTAAACCCTTCAGGACGGAGTCAATAGTAGACGTTCTGATCAAAACAAAATGTAAACAAAAACTGGAATTTACGCTAAAGGTCTGTTCAACCGTGATTTTCCTCTTTCATATTAAGTGCACCCACACTTATTATATATCATTTTTGTTCAGGAGAAGCAGGGCTTTGATTACTCATGAACTATTAATGTTTGTGACTAAGTGGCTACTAAAAATGACTGGGCATACCACATTTGCAATACCTTGGGTTGTCTACTTTTGCAAATGGTATGCCATCATGGGGGTAATTCTCATTCCTGGGCTTCAATACGGTCTCAAAGGCAACATTACCAAACTGGCAAATTTAATTTCAAACACAACAGAAAAGCTTAAAGGAACACTGACCATCATAACCACTAAGCGCTGTAGCAGTTATGGCACCAGGAGCCCACGGCACTGTCCAACAGTAATATGTCAAATGGTTTACAAACGGTTAGCCACTTACCTTGTCATGTGGGCTGAAAGTCTGCTTTAGCAGATCAATTTAGACTGAAAGGACAGTGACACCCAAGACAGTAAGTAAAGTATCAAACTGTTCAGCGTTCATGGGAATGAGATGTGGATGTCCCTCATTTAATTCCACAACTATTTACCATACTTTTGCCACCTTTGGAGGTGCTCATGAAAAGTTGCTTTTACATGTTTAAAGGAACATTCCAAGCATCATAATCACAACATCTGTATAGTGTGCAGATACCAGGAAGTGGCTGAGAAGTACACCAACTGTAAATTGAACTACATCTGTGTGAAGGAATTCCCCATCACTTTTGGCTCCTTTCGCCTAACTGGATTCATACTTAATTTTGTTTTGTTTATTTTGTTCGGTTCCTGAACCAAGACCACCTCAGAGACCCATTAGAACGTGGAACGTTGAGTATCTTGTACAAAAACCGCAAAGGAACTAATTAATAGAATGCTCCACTGGGTGACCGTCATTTCTTGCATGCAAACGCACGTGGTCGGGACAATGGATGGCGGCCATTTTGTCTCCCAAACGCTGGCAGCGGGACTTGGTCGTCGAGTGCCATGGACCTGCTCCCCGTCCAGTACCACTACACCTGCGTTCGGGAGTTATAGACTACCGAACACGGGGAGCATTCTACATGAATCAGCTTTCATCTAACTTTTTTGGTTTTCGTACAAAACCCCATGAACGGAGACCGGCTCTTGACACAACTTTCCTGAAACTATATTGAGCTTCAACCTCGTGGCAGACCGGTCTCAACTTCCCCGCCATGGCGACCCAAAACTGCCAAACGGATCTGGGTGATTCTTTGGATATATTGTTTGCCTAGATCCGGGCTATCTCGGTATGTGACATTTGTGGGGTTTTAATCTATTTTCGGGGTACTTTTGGGATGGTTAAAATTTTTTTGATTTTTCTGTCCCTGAGAGATAATATAATAGCGATTTGTATTAATAGTTATTGATAATTATCTCTCAGGCACAGATGATCATGGGAGGGATTTTCCTGTTTTTCTGTGTTAGAAACCCTGTGTTGGGGCTTTTGCATAAAAAGCTGTGTGTGGCTCCAAATAAACCATTCTTCTCCCAGCATTAACCCTTGGCTCATGTGTGGGGGGTTATGCGACAATCTGTATAGCAGTTGTGTATGGAGTGCCCGGACACTCATATTGAAAGTTTCAAATCATTGAAGTGGTCATGGTGCTTGGAATAATCCTTTAAATCCTAAAATAATCTGATTACTATCAAGGACCAAAAATTAAGTCAAACCGTCACAAGTGTCAACTGCCTCTCCTTTTATGCAGGCTCTGGCACTTGCATGATAAACTATTGCATTTACCCTACCTTATACTTTTGTTTCTTAGATTAGTCTGTTGTTAATAAAGTACATATCCCATGCAGAAAAAAAAAAAAGGAAATAGAATAACCCGTGGTATATACCTCAGCATTATATTATTCTAAGTCAAAGCAAATAGTAATGCTCCATCACCAGTCATACCAGTCTGGGTCATGTATGTGTTGGTCACATACACACTCGCCAGAACAAATAGCATAGGGGTGGTGAGTGTACTGGGAAAGTAAAATTCTAGATTAGTTTCTCCTTTCCTTACTTTAACGCTATTCAAATACGATTAAGGTGAGACCTTAAAAAGCCATAAATCATATAGAACTCATTCTAAACAACCAGCAATCACTTACAATGTGTATTTTCCTTTGCAACTTTTAAAGGATTAAATGTTCCTATACTCTGCTGCTCAAAGAGGGGAGGGGAAGAAAAATGTTCTCATAGTTTCAATAAATATGCAGAGGTGCCAGTACTACGTACAGGTAAGCAGCCATGCAGACGTGGCCCTCAGAACTCGACCACGCTTCTTGAAACTAGAGTGAAATTCTTGAAACTTGAGACTCAGGGGTCACTCCCCTGAGATACTAGATACAATAACATTTTATTGTTCATACCAGAGGAATGGTATGTGAACAGGAAGCGTTTCACATACTTAAAAGGTTTAGGATCAATTAAGTTGTACAGCAGTAGTATCCTTTGTTATCTTGCGTAGATATTTTGTGAAATGGCATTTTGTTTCACCAGCTATACATTTACAGGAGTGATATAAGTGACGCCAGCACTGTAAACATATTTATAAGACCAGAAAAGCAACATCTTACAGTACAAGCAAACCACACAGAACAGAAATTGGGCAGGAACTCCAACCCTACTGTAGACGCAACAATTCTCAAAATCTCTACTCTGCCACCTGCTGTGGTACATCTAACCCAGCAGCAAAAAAAATTAAATGCACAACATTTTTCATATCCAAATTGAATTGGTTGGCTGAAAATCTCCAGTCTAGATTGTGTAGAGACCAGCAAGTGGCTGAGAAGTGTACCAACAAGAAATCGCAGTCAATGACGAGATGGGTATGTAGCCGCAGTGATTCTTCTTTAATGAATACAATAAAGAGAGATAGTGTTCTGTTTGCTCGAAGAATAGGCAGTTGTAGCTAAATCTAAATAAAAATAAATTAAAACCACTGGTGAAAGTCAAATGTAGCGCAGGTTACATTTAATTTTCAAAGTATTAATACATTTCCTTATATTGTCTGTTAATATAAAATGTTCAATCTTAAAAAGGTTTAGAAATGGATGAAGTTGTTTCTATTTAGCTTCCTGAGGACAGTTTTTTTTTTTTTATATATATATTTAATTAAAAAAAATTAAACAAAAGCTCAAGGCCACATAGCATAAACTCAGCCAGGAGCACATAGTGTTCCTTCCACCATGGAACACTCTCAGTGCTGCTTTGGTGGTGCTTGAACTTTTTTTTTTCTTTTTCTAAACTTGTGATCTTCAGTTCAAATATGAAACCCGAATAATACTCTGATTTTATGAGTGTCCTGTATGGTTAAAAAGGTTCACATGGCAAGGTCATGATACAGCATAGCTAGAATTTATAGAGGGAAAAACACACCAAAATGGAGGAGGGGAAAAGGAGGGGGCACCCTGAGAAGATGAAGGGAAACTAGCAAAAATGCCTACAGCATATTTTGTTCAGCTTCAGTGAAGTAGCATTTCCTTATCCCCACTACAGAACAAAACAAAGCTTCATGAAAAGTCTTCCTAGGTCAACCTACAAACCTTCAAGGGCAACCATGAAAAGGATTTTGCCACCATTAACTGCATTCCATCTCATAACTCCAAAATATACATTAAAACAAAACATTCCTGAACTTTTGGTATTTTTTGGGATTTATTTGTATTTATATATTTATTTATTTTTCAACAAAACAGAATATAGTCTACCTTATTTTGTCCATTCAGATAGAATGTTCATCAATAATGTTTTTTCACGTGACAATTCAAGAGGAATAAGGAGAGAATTTTAGAAATGGTTTATTTATTTTAACCGTGCGCATACACCAAAATTTTCACCATGGCAGAGTTTAGACAGCCAACTAGAAGCATGCCGCAAGCATGGGTTTAACGAAAGAACGGAGGGGTAAACGGGAGGGCAATGATAATATCTTTTAAAAATAAACAGAAAAATATTCTGTTTTTAAAAAGGTTTTAAAAATGTATAGTTTAAGAAATGTGAAACAAACAAAAGCTCTTAATTCTTCTTCCTCTATGAGTACATTAATATATGATAATTAAGATACAACATTTGTAGAAAAATTCAATGAACAAACAAATTACACATTTTTAGAAAAATTAATGTAAAAATATTTATTATATTTTATTTTGGAAGCCACTACATTCCAGACAGTTCAAAATAATGCTTCATAAATAATTAGAAAAACAAACAAACCCAACAATGTGATTTTGATTAAGCCATTAAAATGGTTTTATATGCATGATTTACTTCTGAGCAGCAAGTGCAGGTCAAAAGAAATATAGTTTATAAATTAGCTCATCTATAAATGAAATGAGTATTATTTCCTTAACATTAGCATTTAATTAACCCCTTAAAGGACCACTATAGTGCCAGGAAAACATACTTGTTTTCCTGGCACTATAGTGCCCTGAGGGTGCCCCCACCCTCAGGGTCCCCCTCCCGCCCGGCTCTGGAAAGAGAAAAAGGGGTAAATCTTACCTTTTTCCAGCGCTGGGCAGGGAGCTCTTCTCCTCCGATCCTCCTCTTCTCCTCCCCGTCGGCTGAAGGCGGCAAGAGCTGCGCGCGCATTCAGCCGGTCGCATAGGAAAGCATTTACAATGCTTTCCTATGGACGCTTGCGTGCTCACGCAAGCGCCTCTAGCGGCTGTCAATGAGACAGCCGCTAGAGGCTTTGAGGGAAGGCTTAACCCATTCATAAACATAGCAGTTTCTCTGAAACTGCTATGTTTATAAAAAAAATGGGTTAACCCTAGCTGGACCAGGCACCCAGACCACTTCAATAAGCTGAAGTGGTCTGTGTGCCTAGAGTGGTCCTTTAAGGACACATGACGGAAATATTCCATCATGATTCCATTTTATTCCAGAAGTTGTGTCATTAAGGGGTTAAGTAATATTTCCTCTGACAAGCATAAACAGCATTGTTTATGTCGATAAACACATTTTTGGAGTCTCATCCTTCTGTAGCCACATCACCAACAGCTCCAGCTTCCAAAAAAAACACTAGCTCACAACACAAACAGCAACACTATCATACGCAGTCCTAAAATCACACAATGGACACAAATGTAGCAGTGACATTCTAAACAGCACTCACATTAAACCAATACCAAACACACACAGAGCAACTGGGATGCCTTCTCTTTGTTACCAGGCTTCCTACTTGGTACTCATTCTGTAGCTTTCCAATATGTGAAACAGGAAGCATAATTAGTAAGTATTCAATAAAATAGTATTTTCTCTTCAATATGACAAGTTATCAGAAACAAATTTCTGAGTAGAAAACATTCATGCATTTTAAGCCTCATAACCCCTTAAGGACACATGATGGAAATATTCCAGCATGCTGACCTTTTACTTCTGTAACTGTGTCTTTAAGGGGTTTAAAGAAAAAAATCCAGAGTGTGACTGCATGCTTTATACTGGAGAAGTATTGACTATTTCTATTAAAGGAATAAAGAGGGAAAATAAAAAGTCATTAACCTTGCCTATAATCCAGCGCCGAGGAATCTCCGTGCAGCACTTGCAGCAGCACCTCTGCTACTTCTTTTCAAATATATTTTTTTAATGAAAAGTTTTACATTATCATTATTACAAAGGATAATTAGACACATCAATTTACATAGATAAAATATTCAAAACTCTGCCACTTCTGAGATAATCAGTGTCGATGATGTCAGATCAATCCAATGCTTCTCATAGAGAGGCATTTAAAATCTACAGGACATAGGCAGCTGCACTCCACCAATATGATGTTTCTCATAGATAAGCACTAAAGCCAATATTTATCTATGCAAAGCATTAATGGAGTCTGGTGTCATTATGCTGCATGTGATGATGCAGAACAAAAGGGCCTCAAAAATGTAAGGTCTTCAATGAAGAAGCACTTGTCACTTTTATGGTTTAGACAAAATGTAAACAAAGCTATTTCTCTAAAATGACAATGTTTTACGTTGTCAGAAGATTCAATGTTTTTGGTGTTTAAAGGGGCATTATATAGTCACCAGAACAACTACAGCTTAATGTAATTGTTCTGGTGTCTACTGCCTCTTCCTGCAGAATTTTTAATGTAAACACTGCCTTTTCAGAGACAAGGCAGTGTTTACAGTACTACCTAGGAACACTGCTAGTGGCCGTCATTCAGATGTGCAATGTGCAGTACTGCCATTCAGCGTCTCCTAGCTTTGCATGGAGGTGCTCAACGCTCCTCAGAGATGCACTGATTTTGTCCTATGGGAAAACATTGAATTGGCGGAGATCATCACATTTAATGGTCTCAGTCTAGGAGGCGAAGAGGGGGAGGGGCCAGCTGCGAGTAAACCAACGGAGCTTTCAATTTTTATTTTTTTTTACGAAAATCACCTTTTTAATGGAGGGTTAGGAGGCTAAATGGTGCATTTAGGCCTACAGTGTCAGGAATACACATACTCCTGACACTACATGTGTTCCTTTAAGTGCCCCTTTAACAAACAGGTGTTTAATAAAATGGCAAAAGAACACAAAATAAAGCACCCACTAGTTTCTATTTAAAATAAAATGTGAGAGTCACTGGTCCCAAAGAAAAAATGCTAGCAAAAGAAAAGCAAAGAACTTGATATACATTGTAGACATATCACTGTGAGTCCTTGCCTTACACCATACCCAGAGGCATTAGAAGGTATGTGAAATATTACACACAGTATTTATTACTTATCGCAACAGCAGATTTCACAAATCGCATAAATGGAAAAATAAGGAAATTCTGGTCTTTTCAAGAAGATAAACTGTGTTTGAGGACTTTCGTCATTTGCCTGAAATAAACACAAAACGTTTCTTAAAAAGATCACAAAAATAAATAAATAAAACCACAAGACAACACAAGAGACAGGTGCATTGATAAACAAAATGCAGTTAATACAGTTATTTACAAAATTGTTTCAGCAGGATAACTTATGCCTTGCATTTAGTTTTCACCATTTCGTAGTTTTTACTTAAGTACATATGAGAGAAACAACTGAACATAGAACTGTAAACAAGTTGTTAGAGACGAAAACACTGCATGCTGAATGTAGAATGCTCCATTGTAATCTCTCAACACAATTTGTGGTACATCAAGAAGCCTGTCTGAATAAATCTAAGGCTACAAGCCACAGGAATGTCTTGTTCCGAGCAGCCAGGCCATCATGTGTGGACAAGAGAGGCAGGAATGGCTAATCAGTGAATCATCTTGTTTTCACATGTTACATACAAGAGATGTGGATTTGATATGTTCTTCCTCTGTTAAAATTGGGAGGGTTTATACTACAACTCTCTAACAAGAATCCCAGTCCCCCCCCCCCTAACCATCAGATGCTTGGTGGGTGGGAACCCCTCCCCCCCCTGTAGCGGCCATGTGAGTTCAGAGAAAATATGGTAACGTTCACTACTGCTCAAAAACAGAGCTAGCATGACAAGGAATTAGAAAAAGAGCAAAAACATTTAATTTTCCACTATCAAATGGGCAGTTTAAAACCATCAAATGACTATTCACCGCATCTACCTAAACCAGCACGTTGCTATTGTATAGATTTTATGTCTGTATAATTTTATTTTCCTTTTTTTTTGGTGGTGGTGGATAGGGAAGAAATCATTATTTAATTTTTTCATGCTTCATTTCCTAATGAATGTACAGATATCAAGACACAAATGCTACACAAACACACAATGCAGGATTCAAAATCTGGATGTAACAATATTTAGCATTACACACATATATATATATATATATATATATATATATATATATATATATATATATACACATACACACACACACACACACACACACACACACACACACACACACATACATAAATACACACACACAAGCAATCAGACATAGCCTGGAGAGGTCTAGCTGTCCAATAATGCAGATGTAAAATAACAATATTTAGCATTTTGTAAAACCTGCTATCCTTCAGTTTTGGGCTAACATTTTGTTAAGTTTATTAATTGGTCTTGTTGGTGACAGTGACGTCAGAAAGCTCTGTCTACACGAAAGCAAACAAACAGAAAAAAACATAGAAGTACAAATTGCTGCCATACTGTTATTTCAAAATGTCACATACAAACAAACACTCAGAAAATACTGTGGCACGACATCTACTTATACAGCAGTACAAGTATATTCAAATATATTGAATTTGTCCATGTAGATCCCTGCATAAAGTGGGCATTTATAAAAAAGAAAAAAAAAACTATACAAGTAGCAATTGTTGAAATGTTTTACAATGTACCTAATTATAAATATTTCATTTGAAAAAGTACCATAAAAAGGTTGCACACACAAAAAAACAAGATTTAAAATAAAGTATAAAGACTAGGAATAAAAAGACCACCTCAGTAACCACGGAAAATAAAAATCATGAAGAAAAAATAAAAAAAGGAAAACAAATTATATTAAAATTATTTTTTTATTAAAAAATAAAAACCACTGCATTTAATTTTGGTTTTTAAAGAAACACACATGAGTAGATAAGCAAGTAAACAAATTCATAAATAAAAATGGGATTCTTGAATCTTGATTCCTCCTATGATTCACCTTCAACCCCTATCTATGACTCACTAAAGGGAAGTCACATGACCAGAACACAGAAAGAGAACAGTTTTCTTTCCTTTCTGCTAGAAAAAAAAATCCTTTTTGCAGGAGAAACAAAAGCTGGTATTAACTGTCCAGGGCCATTCCTGGGTGGGGCCTGCATGCCAAAAAAGCTGTAATGGGCTGAGGTTAATCTTAATGGGGGCCCACTTTAACCTTCTGAATGCATCAAAAATGTGAAAACTGCATGCACCTCCCCCACCAGGTTTCCTGCACCAATCTTACACCCGGTGAAAACAAGATTTCTACCAGACTGATTCCATGCTGATATAGATTTTCATTTACATTTTTATTTTTTTAATGAGTAATAAACAGTCATGCTAATTTTTAATAAAAAAAAAAAAAAACCACACAACAGATATGGCTTCTCCATACACACAGCAGATTCACTTCAGAATTAGCATGAATACATAGGAGTATCCATTGACTAGAGTGATGGGTGGTCCTTTCGTTCCTCAAACAGTAATGTGTACATTATTTAGGATGAATAGATAACAAAGTGCTAGGAGTATGTTTTAGACAAGGCGCAGATTAAAAAGTGTTTACATCTCTCTATAAACATGTAACACGTTTGATGCAACCCATTTCCAATTAGGGATATAAATACTGCCAGTACAACATCAATAAAAACAGATGTAAACATGTGCCATAGCCAAACATCAGCTATTAAAACAGGATATTAGAGAGATAAATAATGGGCGGTTAAGGGGAAAAAATAAAATGATGTACAATTGGGAAGCCAACCACAACACAAAACAAATACTGCAATTGTAAAAAAAAAATATTCTAAAATAGGAATATCTGAGGTGGAAACAGATTTTTTTTTTTTTTTTAAAAATCCTGAAAAATGCAAATATAGAAGACAGTAGTATGTTTTGTGTTTATTTATTAATGTGGCCATTTTAAAGTGTTTGTTTATTAATCAAGCGCTACACAGCTTAAGAAAAATAATAAAATTTAAAAAGTCGATATAAAAAAAAAAAGTATAGAAAAAAACATTAGCTAGGATTTTAGGGTCAGCAAGGCACACAGTAAGGACCCCTTTGGCAATAGAGTTCCTTGGAAGGATGTATGTAGAAAAAAAGAAATTGCCCAAGGAAGTGGTAAGCAAAGAACAGCTATGACCCTCACTTCCCTGGTTTGATCAAGAGAATCTGCAACCTGAGCCAAAGGTACAAATTCCTCCCATTCAAAGTTCTTCAATGGAGTGGGGGAAGGAAAGTTAACCAGTTCCCTGCTGATGTAAGTCTATGTGGCAGAACCTTGTACTCTGCCAGACATCCTTTTCCCAAGCCACACTGTTTGACTTGTTACACACAATGTTTATTGTCACAGAAATCTCAAGATATACTGTGAAGAGAACCTTATAGTTGTACCTTTTAGCCAGGCAAAAATTTTTTTTTAAAGATTAAAAGAAATGTGAATTTTTTTTTATATAACCAGGAAAAATAGTTAGCTCTTTAGAAGTGATTCTCCTGTTCTCTTCTCTCATTGGTCAATACCTTGATTTCATCTAGCAGGTATTTCATATTATTTAACATTCAAAGGCATCCTTAAAATGTTGGGAAGGAAATCTAGTTTGCACTCAGAAAATGCATTGATAGAAGGCAGATTATTCACAGGCAATTTATCCTTTGTTTTTGCCTAGGTCCAAAATAAAAAAAAGTTGTAGTTATGTATGCCTATTGATAAAATCCCCCTTTGGGGAGAATAAATAAAATGCATAAAAAAAAAAAAAAAAAAGATAGGATTAGGTTTTCAGGAGATTGCAATGTTGTAATCTGTTCTTTTTAAATAAAAGCTAGATAGACAGACAGGGCTGATTTTTAATGCTGACAATAAAAAGGCTTTGACAAGTAAATACAAACATCTTCTCAAAGATTAGGTCTGTAAACATGAATCAGCCATCTATACAAACAAAATCAGTATACTGTCAATAAGAATAGTTTCAAAATATTTAAACAATAAAAATCATAAGTTGTTTCACCACAATATAATTGATTATTAATGATATATTTTTATATCAAAACAGTAGGAAAAGCCATTTGCATTCATACGCAGATGGACAGTTCATGATCAATTCATTTATAATATTACTATGCTGAGATTTTACGGTACATTAGGTGCTCTACAGTTGAAAGAACATAGTAAAAAGGAAAAAAAAATAGTAAAAATATATTTATTCTTTAAAACTCATTCTATTGTCATCTACAGTCTGCAATCATTGGTTGAATAATTTGTGATCTTATTTTAGTTTGCATTTTAGCAATACCTTAACTATTAATTGACAACTAGTACACAATGCCATGCATCTATAAAAACTGAATATTATTAGTTATACACTGTCGTGCAATATGTAATGTTTCAAACACCCTTTGAATAATCGGCTAAAATAAAACCTAAAATGGAGTGGAAAAAAATTAAAAAAAATATAGAACATTGAATACCTGTCAATGAATGTACATAAATAATGTATAAAGGCATATATCAGTATCCATAATTGATGCTAAAGGCTATTAAATGAATATCAATCCAAAAATAAATTAAATGCACCCAAAATCAAACGGGCGAGCATCAAAACAGAAGTTGCAATCATTCAAAAACATGCCATCACAGAGCAATACAACTAAAATATTCTGCCTTGTTAACAATGTTTCTAGAATCCATTATTAGGAAAGCAAGGAGATTGCAAAACGGTTTTCTTGAAGAAAGGAAATAACTTGACAAGTGTAGCTATAAGAACATCTCTTTCATTGTAATGTGCTGAAGGATGTGTCAAATGTCACAGGGCAGAACCTCACCAGAAAAGATTGGACTGCATTGGGATATACATAGCATTACTATATTCTTAAGCTATGATGATTGTTGCTGCATTAACAGTTGTGATAAATGGAAATAAAGACAAAAAAGAACATGGTCATTTTATTTGAAATAAAAATCAGAGATGCAGACCTTCTTCTGTGACCTATAATATTGTATAGAATATCATGGTTCAAGCAAACAAACAAACGTTTGGATGCAATAAACCGTACAGCTAAGCCAAGGTCATTAAATAGCTATGCCTGCTCTGCATCTGCATCACAATGTGTTTAACTCTTTATATATTACAGTAGGATGATAATGTCACCTTTCCATAGAATGTTAATATATACATATCAGAGCCTGATATTGAATTTAAACACACACGCACACACACACACACACACACAAACATTTTAGCAAGGAAATGTTTATTATAGGATGTTTTGTCATCAGAATCAGAAGAGTGTCTGGTTTCAAAGCATTACATGTCCTTACAAATACATACACATACAAGAATGTGCTTATTGCTTGCACTTGAATCAAGCAGCACAGGATGGGAAGCTCACCTCCATACATTGTTTATTTTGCTAGGATGATAGTATTTCACAAAGGTCTTCTCTGAACCTCTTCATATCATTTGCTTAAATCGCAAGTTAGGATTAAAGAAAAGGTAACCCCTACATAAAGTAGTAACACAGATAACGGCAAGAAAATATGAAGTCTTGTTCTCAAAGGAAAACATAGGACAATATTGTGTTTAATATTATATTGCATTTGACAGTAAAAACAATAATTTGGTTCAAAATGTGTTATGGCCGAGGATCAATTCAGTGCAAAGTTCTTAAACTAAACTTGATTTTTTTCCCCAAAGTCATTGCTCCAGTTCAATATATATAGATTAGAATTGGGATTTATACCATTAATCTATGTGTCTAATTGTGTGACTAAATGCACTTTTCTAAATGCTAGTTTTCAAACCAACTTTATATTGACCAGCATTAACCCCTTAAATACACATGACATGTGTGACATGTCATGATTCCCTTTTATTCCAGAAGTTTGGTTCTTAAGGGGTTAAAGAGACAAGATGGTTTAATACGCATTATCAAAATAGTCAAGGTTAAGGTGGAGGGACAGATCCAAACTGGCTCCACCCACTAATTTCTTAGACAACCAATGGCACTCCACACATGCACAACACTGCTTCAAATATCACCTCAAAATGGAAGGGGAAAAAAACCATAAAAACTACTCTTGCAAATTTCTGAGTAAATCTTTAGTGGTTAAGTCATAGGAAGGTCAGGGATATTACTATTATTTTATTATTTATATAACGCCATCAGATTCCGTAGCGCTGTACAAAGGGTCAAACAGTTTGTAGATTTAATGACAAGTAGAAAGGTTTACTACTTAAATTTAAGTAATTCCTGCTTTTTGTTTTTTGTTTTTTTAATGCACCAACTATGTAAAGTAAATGCACCCTGAGAAGTAGCTTTAGTTATTTATTGCACAACACAGAAGCCAATACCTACTTGTCAGATTGACAGAAGGACATACAATTGCTTATGAAGGTGTTCGGTTAAGCAGTATTCATTCATGAGTTTGTGTTACTGCAACGCGCAAGACGCTTCTTAAAGAGCATGCACAGCACTCATATTGTGTCCTGTCTAGTGAGTCCAATAAGATAGTTTTATATCTTTACAATAAGTACCATAACTGGATAATTAAATGCTGTACAGCAATATGTTAACGAATGGTGCGCTTGTAAAATAGGACACTTTATCAAAACAATACACTGTGTGTTTTGCTTTTTTTCCCTCTGTCGTCCCACGTGTTACATGCAGATGTTATAGGCAAGACAAATTAAAGGCAACTTGGTCTTAAGTAAAGCTGTTACAAAGTTTGAGAAAACCTTTGAAAGCCTTAAAAGCTTTCACTCCCTCTCTAATGTTTAATAGTCAATCACTAAAGGATCGCAGAACATCACAGGCACCTTTAAAATGAGGCACAATAGTCAATGTAAAAATATGTATTCGCATGAAGATGTTACCAATGACCAACCAATGCCCACCATTTTAATTCCTTTAAAAAGCAAGTGTTTGCAGTGATGGTGGTGGTAAGCCTAGGCTACTAAAGGCTTTAGGAGAAATATGGCAACGCATATGCTATGTGTTGCAAGAGTTAAACCTTGCTTCATGGCATTCTGTTCTACTGAAGGTTTAAATAGATGTCAACATCAAAGAGATGTTGGTGATTAAACTATGTTTACAGCAAGGTACTCTGATAAGATTTTTCAATGGCTTTGCTGAGAAGAGTCAAATAGATAAGGAGAGATTTAAACACAAGCAATAGGTAACTCTTCAATGTCATTTAATGTACAACATTATGAAACAGCAACTAGGGTGCTGAGCAAAGAGACAAAAACAAACAAAACAAAAAAACAAAAAACACAACATTTTAGAAAAATAGGAGGACTTAAAAAAAATATAACTACCTTAAGTTCCAAAATATATTTTTGGAAAGCTAAATGTATGTACTTCACAAAATGCAAAACAGATAAGTAACCAACATATACAAAACAAAACACAAGTCTGCATTTCTAGATTATATTTATTTACGGACATCATGAATGTAGTACAAAAAAAAAAAAGCACAATATTGTGAAAAACTGTGTTTGCAAGGGATGTGGCCATATATACCCGGACACATCATAATCCAGTGCTACTTTGTCTTTCCTGCCTTCTTGCTCATAGCATCAGTGTTAGTTGAGAATGCTCATTATCTGATTGAACATAAACCTTGAATATCTCCATTTACACCTGGTTATCAATTTCTTTTTTAAATATGTATACTCCAAGAAATATATGGATTGTAATTTATACAGATAATGATATTTGCTCTCCTCAATGAATAAAAATATATTTAATGAAAAGTTATTAATATCAATAAGGTTAAAACCTCTGGAAAAAAAATATAATTCACCAAGCCATTCTAAGGATGAGTTGCACACTGATGAGGTCTAAAACACAAGCATACCTTTATTTATATGTGTGCATCTCCTCCCACACATACACCAACTAAGATGAGAAGAGTGAGTTGTCTTTTGCATTTAAAATGAGGATGGAGATATTTGTACTGTGTTTCTTCTTTTTGCTTCTTTTATTTTTATATGGCTGTACAGAGTATTCACTGGCCATAGATGAATGTGTAATAACATAGGAAACCTGTTATCTCAAAAGCAAATACAAGCAAATCTAAATAAAATGCTTACACAACAAAAGAGATGGTTAATAAATAAAACATCTTAAAACTGCAATAATCTACTGCCTTATGCAAAAAAAAAAAAATTATATGATGATGATTTCACTGTCATTCCCTCACAATATGATGTTATATAGTGAATATATATATATATATATATACTTATTTTTTTTTATTATTTTAACATACACACTCTTATAATGAATTCCTTATAATGAATTAAATTATGTCATGTCCTTCTTATGCAGATTCCCATCACCATAATTAAAATCAATGGCACTATATTTCTCAACAAATAGATTTAGAGTCCTAAAAGCCAATATACAATCAGCCACATATTTAAGAGTAAAATACAAGGTATTCAAGTATGCAATGATGAAAAAAAAAAAAAAATATGTAACAGGATATTTAATTAATTAAAAAAAAAAAAAAAAAAAGCTAATTTTGTGTCTGCTAGCAGCAATGCACAGACATATATTGTGATAGAAAAATCCAGAATAATATTGAATCTATAATAAATGTCTGGCAGAAAAGTTATCTTATACAAAAGAATTTACGTTTCATCAATAAGTGATTCATTTTCATACTGATTTTAGCTATATGCAGGTAATATGCTCCAAAAAATAACGAGTCTCCTGTATTATACAGTTAAAATGTAGTACTGGGCAATTGATATTGACAAATGCCATCTTTAAGGTTAGAGGGAAGTGCTGGATTTAAACACAAAAAATCCATACATGAAAGAAAAGTCACATAAAATATATAGAAAAAAAATATGGTTTTAATAATAAATAAATAAATAAATTATGTTCTGTGCATTTTCACACTTATCAAGTGTACCACCTGTTTTGAGAAATTACAGATCTTAGTCAAAATCTCCTTTTATAATGTTAAAATGTGTTTTAATATTTGGGAGACTTACAATAGGAAGATACTGTTACTCAGAGAGGAAGTTGTTTTGTTTCCCTCTCTTTTTTAGTTTATTCATCTATAAAGTAAATTTATGAGATCGTAAAAAGCTATTTAACGACCTAAGGGAGGTTCAAATGAAAAAAGGGGACCAGACAATTGATAGCAAGGAGATCTTACAAAGATTTGGGTAACTAGATCTCATGGGCTAAATAAATATAAAAAATAAAAAAAAATTCACACAGGAAAAAGTTAGAATAAAGCAAGTCCCATCCATAAATATAATCCCCCACACATTTGATTTAACACTTTACACCTATTATTTGTTGAAACAGACAAAGCACTGAGTGGGGCCTGAGGGAAAGCCATCCAGGAAAAAAAAAAAGCTGGGAGATGTCCCCATGTGACCCATCAAGATCCATGTCACCAGAGCTTTGTTTCTTTGGGGCTAGATCATGGCCCCAATCAAAGCAATCAAAAGAGGGTATAAGAATACAACAGGAGGGACAAGGACAAAGCAATATCAAATAAAATAAATCTTTGTAGGGAAAAAAGAAAAGCAAGTTTAAAGAAAACCTCAATTCCCTAGTTTACTTGGCATTACACCTACAGTGTACATGCTACCTAATGAAGTGACAAGCATTTGAGTCCAGACGGTGGGAATTGACAAATAAATTACAAAGAAATTGAACCAATTCATTCTGGAAATGTAAACGCCTTCATGAGAGTAAGGGTCATGAAATTGGAGCCTACAGATTAAGGGTCATAGGTAAGTAAACTCTGAAAATGCTGCATTCCAGTATCTAACATATTATGGAAATTTTAGTTAACCAACACATTGCCAGAGCCACAATCGATGCACTATGCGAAAACAGTAAATGCAGGTGGCAGCGGAAACACAACTTCCTTTAACCCTTAGTCAATCTATTGAGAATAACCCACCCACCGGGTTATCCCTAGGACTTCCCTCCCAGATGGTCAGTGAAAATTACAGAAACCTAATGCATGCTGTACTTGATCAGAAATCCCTTTGCTTGCATTGTGTTGTATGCAAACTAGCAGCAAGATTTAAACCCTCAGCCACTTTCAAATATCTGCAAAACCCTGCAGCCACCATCACATCTAGAGCACAGGGAGTCTAGTCATTAAAGCTGTCTGTTTTCTGGGACTACACTGTGCTGCATTGCTGTGATTCCACAAGGGCCTGTGAGAAAATAGAACACAGGCTCTGAGTACAATACAGTGTAAGTATAAACACGAAGCGTCTCTGGCCACATGCTATGTTGAACTTAGTGCCTTAACCCCTTAAGGACACATGACATGTGTGACATGTCATGATTTCCTTTTATTCCAGAAGTTTGGTCCTTAAAGGGTTAAAGAGACAGAAGGGAACCTCTTACAATATTTCCTACTGATCATAAACAACTCGTGGGGAAGCAGTACCATTTTAAAACGTGGCCATTGATTTTGCTATTCTTAACTGTAATAGAAAGAAAAAGGACAGGACGAGAAGAAGGTGGACACAAGCACCAAAATGCAGGTCAGATTTATTTTATTTTCAGGTTATTTTGTAACAGAAGCAGTGAGGATTTCTTCCTTTTTTTTTTTAAATGATGGCCACTTTTTCCATATTTATTTCTGCCAGCCATGTAGATCGATGCTTGGAGGTGACCAGTGTTGGAGGGACCAAGTCTACCCAAGACATATTGGTTTAAGTAGCTGAATAGATCTTTGTTATGAACTTAATTTACTAAATGAGACTCAGTATTTGTAGGTCACTAAATACCAGGTATATACTCTAGAGATGCTGACAGACTCTACTACCCTTGTGTCTACCCTTTTCCTGTGCATTGGAGAGACAGCACCACCGCACCCCCAAATGTCCTTTATAGTTTGGTTTAGACCCAGCAACCCTGCGATTTGTGCATATTCCATTACAATCTTTGCTTTTAGTTGCAACTACACTGGGTAATTTGACTATATTAGTTACAAGGTATTAAGACAAAGGTGATATCCATTTTACATGTGGGTATTATCACCTAAATGGTTATTTCGTAACTCCTGGCGTTTTCTTCCACCAGGCATATAGCCTCTGGTTGCTTATTTATTGGGGATGCTTCTCAATTTACAGCTATTCCTGCAGTTTACCTTATGTGGATTTATCTCAGCAGTTTACTCTTCCACTGAAATTAGTTCAAGACACAGAGATAATTAGGCAGGCATCTTTTACATTCCCACTTTTGAATATGATGTGCTTTCAAAACTAAATACAATGTTTCCAAGGGCATGTGTACATGAATAAAGCCGAAGTGGCAACATTGTATATTTCACAAATAGGTCTAAATGAATGAGGAATAATAGATTTTTTGACCTTTCCTTTCTGCTTGGCTATACTTTAAGGGATTACTGCACATTGCAAAGTAAGTAGAGTTTTTATACTTGTAGGACAGTAATAAATACTAGTGCAGGGAGTTCTTTAGAATTTCTCCTCATGTCTTGTCCTTTCTAATATTGATACCTAGGATGCATGCCCAGGATATACCTAATAATATACAGCTGATTTCAGTGTTTACTTCAGCACTTTCTGTTTGCTTTTTATTCTCGACTGCAGGATATTTAGGCTGCTGTTGGGCCTTCCTTCACAGTAGAGCTGCAGAAACCTTGTAAAGTGCATTAGCTGTGCAAATCATTAGCAGGGAGGATAAACACTTGCTTTTTTTACCCATTCCTTGTATTAACTGCAATTAGTAAGAATACTGTGGGCACAAATCATTAGTAGGGGAACACACAGAAGTGCAAAAACTGATGAATTATCTGATGAACTTGTAAGATAAAGTGATGGGGTAACAGCCATTTTCACAGCTCCCTGATCGAGCCAATCCATGAAGAAAATCACCATATTTTAAAAACAGTATTTGAGTGAAGGGAGGGGGGGGAGAGGGAGGGGGAGAGAGAATATTGTAAAAAGTATTGAAACAGGAAGAGTCTACCTCCCTCCGTATGTTTTTGTCTGAGAATGCATGAGGTGAGGTACAACTCGTACTAAAAGGGTCAAAGTGGGTGGCTTATCCTTCTACTTGTGGGTGGTTAAGGAGAAGGGGCTGGGGGCTAGGGTCAACTTACTTGGTGTACAAAAACATCCACCGGGTTATCCAAGGGACTTCCCTCCCGGCTGGTCATAGAGATGAAACCGAATCCCATCCGCACATTGAACCACTTGCAATGGCCAGCACCGTGCAGGACCTGGATGCTCTCCTCCTCTTCTTCCTGTTCTGGCAATTTCCCCTGTTCTTCTCCTGTACCTTTACCAGCCCCTCCTGGGGATGAGAAGAGAGACACAAACTCAAAAATCACAATGTTGCAAGCTCAACAACAACAAGCAGAGTTTATGACAGTACACATACACGTCCTTTGCATGCTCAGTGCCAAGGGGCTGGTCTGTGCTTTCCCACAAGACGATATTCAATGCCAAGAGCATAATTGAGAGAAAACCCCTTTCATTTTCCTTCCAAGCTTCGGTGCTTTATTTATACCCCCATGTGCTCGCAATGCAGCTGATCAAAATTGAGAAACAAAGGAGATTTAAGACGATCGCCGTTCTCTCCACTCCATCCTATCCTCTACTGTTAGGCAGTATAATAATAATAAGAAGAAGAATAATAAAACAGGGGAAATAAAAGCAGCCACCAGCAAAAAAACAAAAACAAAACAGTACAAATAAAAAAGGGGGACTGGATATGCTAGGCGCGGGGAGGGAGGTGAAGCGAGTTATAAGAAAAATTCTTGCACAACAGTTTGTTATTGCACATGTACGGCATCCACGATTGTGTTGAATTTCCTGCAGTGACTTATTTCCACAAAAAAAGCTGGGCAGGTGGATTTTCTTCTTCTTCTTCAAAGGTCATACATTACAATAAAAGCGATCGCCTTCTCAGAAACAATTCAAACAAAAGCGACCCCCCTTCTCTCTCTCCCCATCAAAGCTTTCTGACTCCACAGAAGGCGGCACGCGTACCATTTTAGCAGATCGGCATGAGTTGCCCACCCCATTAACAACCCTCTTCATCCCCTCCACCCCCCTAATATTGCCGATATCAGCAGCCGTAGACACCGATTATGCGTATGATTCTTCTCTTCCCACCCCACCAAAAAAGAAATTTTAAAATATATTAATATTATGAACCTTCGGCCATGACGCCCTTTTTTCCAGAAAAGATAGATGAAAAGTTTCCTTTTTGAGGTGTATGGTCTGCTGCATCAACGTGACATCCTGATTTGGAGCGATCCCAAATTTAGCTCGCATGGTCTAGCGTGCTCTCCCTCTTGTGATTCTCTCTCCCTGCTCGGCTCGCTCCCTGGCCCCCTCGTGCACACGTGACTCTGTCAATTACATGCCTTCTTGCTACTAATTTCAGCACGGATCGTGGAAGGGGGCTGGCAGGAGCCGCTCTCGGCCAATCAGAGGCCTGGGACAGGCTGCTGCGGAAATCATTTATGAATGAACTCTTCACTATGCATACACATACTACACACATACACAGTGTGCATTGTACACACGGTGCACATGGCACGTTATAGTGGTATACTGTTACACACAGATTGACGTTACACACATACTATAACCATACACAGAGCCATGGGGGTCAGTGTGGAGGGTGTTTGGAGATCAGGCACATTCCCACAAGCAAGGGATTTATCCACTAAACAGCGAATTTGAAAATATTCAGACAGACAAGCTGTGACTATAGCAGAATTTGAGAAATTGAAAGGGATTATTCACTAAACTCTTACATGTAGCGAATTCAAATCTGCATGGAAGCCTAAACAGCACATCTGGAGAATCCGGCGTTAGTCAGAGATTTTATGTTTTTCCCCCTGAATTTTGCAATCTGGTTTGAAGTTTTTACAACTCGTAGTTTAGTAAATAAGCCCCCACATCAGCCTACATTTTGCAATGATCTTCTACCATCCTATTCTTGTGGATTTTTGGGGGGTAATAAAGCAGGTTGTGACAGCATGGGCACATCTGTCAATTCAAGATGAAATGTGGCAATGATTTTTAAATATTATAACATGAGACATGTCTAGGGGGCGACAAAGCATGAACACTTTATGTAGACCTTGTTTTGGAAATGCTGCGGCCGTCCTGTTACTTTTACAGACGCTCAGTGGGCTGGCACTGGGCTGATGGGAGTTGCAGTCCCCAAAAACCCACCAGGGGTCAAGGGTGGAGGTGACACCCGTCAGAGCTTGCTAGCCCTTACTGAGCCTGAATGACAGATGATAGTTTATTTAGAACGTGGAACGTCCAACATAACCTTTAACTCCTTCACCACCAACACGCAGGCTGGGTTAACGTGGAGCTTTGCTTTGGCACTTTTTTTTTTTTTTTTTTAAGAGAAGGGGGTAGGGAAGAGGCGGTTGCTGGATCGGACTTCACAGGTTTCTCCGCCATCTCTTTCCGGGGGAGGGGATGTGATTAATGACTTCCTAAATAAGAGTCCAGCATTGGGAAGGGAGGGTAGAATGAACCTCAATCAACAAAAATCGTTCCTAGTCAGAAGGGAGATATAAATATATTTATAGATATTTTTTTTAAATACATATACACATAAACTGGGGAAGGTTGGTCCAGGGGCAATGTTGAATCTCTAGGAGTACCATGACAATGTGATGGTGCTTCGCCCGTCTGTGCATATGGTGATATCTGGAGAGTCTGTATAGTCCCTTCTTCGACATGCATACTTTTGTTTGCACGTATGTGTTTATGCATATGTGCTAATATTTGTCTTGCTTTTATATACAATAACGTTTACTATGATATCTGTGGTTGTTTATCATGATATACCCATCACCCTTAACCCCTTAAGGACACATGACATGTGTGACATGTCACGATTCCCTTTTATTCCAAAAGTTTGGTCCTTAAGGAGTTAAAAGAGGCTTTCTCTGTCAGGGGGTGAAAGAAGGGGGATTAGGTGACACCTCAATCACCCCGGAAGCCAGTTCAGAGTCAGTAAAGTGATTGTGGCTACAGCCAGCCCTGGACGGTGTACTGAGCCTCCTGTTAAATCCAAGTCCCCTCCCTAAATGCAATGCTAGGAGGTATTTGTCTGAATTGATCTGCAAGGCACAGCTCTGGGGGGAGGGGAGCTAATACCTTTCAAACCGCCTCTGACAACACCAACCAAATAAGCATTTTTACAGACTAGAGTTCAAAGCATGTGCCCTCAATAACTAACACTATAAGGACGCCTCTAGGTACAATAATGAACCCCTTATGGGAATGACAGTGCTGGGAACCTTTTCTTTTGAGTGTAAATTAGATTAATTAGATGCCTATTTAACACACTACTGTGTGAAGTATTGCTACTTATTTTTTTAAAATTCTATAACATAGTTTGATTTTTCTAGAATAAATTGAAATGACGTGCTCAAGATCCAATTCACTAAATTGTATTGTTTGTACTTTATGTTAAATTAACCTATAAAATGAGGTAGGCACTTCTATTGTTCATTATTTTGTAACAGGAGACAGTATTTGTAATCCGACATGTATGAATTAAATACTTGGGTTTATCTAAAAATGCTACATTCTATTTTCCATGCTGTTCTGTATTGCATATATTTATCTATCTACCTATATTTGTTACGATCAAACTAGAAAATGTAAAGGGGAAACAAAAATATTTATTTTGAGCACTTAAAAGAGCGGATGGGAAAGGAGGGGGTTGGGGGGGGACAACAAAACCAGCGATGAGGCACATGAAGCAGAATCTTAATCCTGAAATTCCTTTGCAGTCTTGAACCGTAAATGTGCAATAGGTTGTGGCTTATATAGTCATACTATATGGATTTCCCTATCCAGCGCTGCTGGTATAGGCGGAGTCAAAACACTCCCCACTACATTATAGAATGGGACATGTGCAATTGGTTCATTCATAGAATCAGGTCAAAGTAGTTTAGGTCTGTTTTTTCAAAACGTATTAGGAAAGTACTTTAAGAGAGTGTGCACGTTGTTTTATTTTTATTTTTTGTTGTAAAAAAAAATAAAATAACGGAAGTTAGACATGGCAAGAAGTTTTTGGTTCCATTGTGTTTTAAGAGCATGACAGTTTTATTTATGACATATTTGTATGTTTCTCCATTAAACAGAGCAAACCGGTTAATCTACGGTTTGGAAAAAAAAATGTTTATGTAGACTGGTGCTCTCTGGATTAGGGAAACGTGTTTTCGACATGCAATACATTTTGTAATTTAAAAAATAATAATAAATTGTGTATTATGTATTGAGCAAGCAGCACTATTGAGAGCAAACCCACTAGACCAACTAACCGATCTTTTGGAAGATTATATAGGTGCACTAGGTTTATGACGTTTTCTATAATTGCAAGATACAATAAGGAGAGTGTTGGTTGTTCATTTAGAAATGCAAAATCTTAAAAATGCATTTTTAGAAGAAAGTTTACAATTGGTTGAAAGAACTCCACTTATTAAAATAGGCAATTAATTGTAATGCCACAATGAAGCTGTTTTTTCACTCTTCAAATTTAAGAGTTCATCATTTATATAGTGTGTGTGAATAAAACTGTGCTAGATAAACTAAATTTTTATTTAACTTTTTATTCTAGACAGGACATACAATTTGCAGGTAATAAAGTGAAAAATAATTTTAAGTTTCAAACAAGTTATGTCTATCAAAGCTTATAACGTGTCATATCAGAAAAGGATTAAAATATACCGTATACAATGTATAACTGTCACTACTGTACCATTATAAAGTGACTCTCTCTATACTTACATACATTATAGTTATTAAGGTTTTTAGTTTAAAGTTCACGCTAATGAACATTTCTCTAGATCTCCATTGTAACTTTTATGTGCTCAAACACATTTGCTTAGAAAAACATTGACATTACTGCAGCTAACGTAATTTCCACTAAACCCAACAAAGAATAAAGAAATCTGGCATTCACATCATTTGTACCAAAACAGTGGATCTGGTGTCAACGCAATGTCCTGTATGAGAACCGACAGACGATTACCCACTTGTCCAATTTAAGTCAGTAAAGCATTGTTGAGACCAGCTCCACATCCCAGACAAGTCAGCAGACTTGTTTTTTTCCCACACATATCCCCTCAGCACATAGTATTGACACTGCAGCTAAGGATTATGGGTAAGGGTATGTAAATGAGATCAACAACAATTACCTTTAACCTCAGTTTATTTCAGAAAAGCAACAATGTGCCACTGAGAGGGCAGTGGATTATTTTCTTGCCTCCCGCATGTCCCTATATATTTTATATATATACACATATCTATATATGTGTGTGTAATGTGCTCCCTGCATGTTTCACTCAGTTGATCACTAGAGATCATGGGATGAGAAGCAGGCATCCACTGTTATTGGAATTAAGGTCGGGGTCAGTGGACTGGTCATTGGTGTCAGATGTTATCGGCTTCATTCATTTCCTGCGTGGAACATTAGCCTTTCAAGTTTTTCCTTTTTCCTTTTTTTTTTTTTTAAGGTACATCAATCAGCAAATGGAAGCTCTCACAGAATCTTCCACAAATGCTTTGATTCATATGAGATCAACTAGAATATCTGCGCTGGATCCCTATGCATGGTATCATCTTGCTTCCAGGAATCAAGTAAGCCAAACTTTACATAGGTCTAAAACTAGACAGCTATGCTTTTTACACAAGTCATCGAGGTCATTTTAGGTTAACCGCTTACAAATACATTGGCTCGCAGTTGTACCGATATCGCATCGAAATCGCTCGCCAAGCAACGCCTTGTCATTATTTTGAGATTATATCTATATAAACATTTATCCCATGTACACCCTAATAAAAAGTCATGCAGCTAAAATGCATCTGATCGCCGCTGCTGACTGTATATCCTGCAAAGCTTAGCCTTGCGGTTTAGCTGATCTAAAGAATGGTCAGCTACAGTTTATTCACTTAACATGAAATAAGATGCACGGAAAATCGAATGCTAAAAGAGCCAAGCATGACTGCAGCCGAGTCGAAGATTTAAAAAACTTTTTTTTTTTTTCTAAATC